AAATATTAGGCAACACACAGTAATGCCAGAAGGGGGAGTTTAGAAATAGATACCGCTCCTGGTAAACCACATATTTCCTTGTGTTTATTCCGATGGGTTTTTTTTCTGTAATAACTGGTTAGAAAAATACATCTGGTTACTTCCTGCTGTTATTATCACGTTTCCTTCATGGAAAGGATTTTAAGGCTAATCTTGAGCATTATACAAGGGACAGTGGAGCTAAATAATTGAGATACATTTAGAAGGCAGGCGGAAGGTGGATGGAGGGAGTTCTGAAGAAGTCAGGTCGGACTTGAAACTTTATCACTCCTCAATTCCTCAGTCCCTGTCTGACCTGTATATAACTGCTAACAATTTTTGTTTCTAATTCTGATTCCAGCATCCACAATTCCGCTTTATTCTTAAAGACTGTGTCACAGCAACAGTTCCTATGGCTGGGGTCACATCAGGTCATTTCCAACAAAAAAGGATCGAGACACAGTTCATGACCTGGAGACTGAGACTACAGGAGGTTAGTTTTTGACATTCTGGCTAGCCGCTGTATGAAAGACACAATGTTAAATTTTCCCATGTTTCCACGAGAAGCGGTCTTGAACAAAGTGATTTTTTTTATTGCTTCAGTGTTTTGTACGTCCCTTTGCTGTGTGCAGATTCACGTAAATGTGAAAATCATGTAGTGTTTCAGTCAGTCTTCAAAAATATTGGAGAGATACGTGTGAAAGACATCTGTTCAAAACAAACACATTACACCACGTTTGGTTTACTCTGTCAAAGATAGAGTTAAGGCGCATGTCTGAAAGCAAGATATCCATTAATCACTTACGGGAGCGACCAATGTACCTCAGAGAAAACGAAGGCAAACCCAACCCTTTAGACTCTGCACCATCTGGCACCATCCTCCCCAGTTGCTAGTTATGCGCATTTCTGCAGAGGCAAACAAACAAAACCCTTTTGCCAATTTCAGTAAAAACAACAAAAATAACCTGGGTAGACAAACAGGAGGCTGGAAGAACACAGCAGGCCAGGCAGCATCTGGAGGAAAGGAGCAGTCAATGTTTCAGGTATTACCCTGGCTCCAAAATAAAGCCGAGAGTTTTTGTAAGACCATTTGGCATTACTAGACCTTACAGCCAAATTTCTTCATGGAAACTTGTGCAGCATCGAAAACAAATGGTCCCAGCTGTCAAAACCCCACAGCTCACCATGACACAAAGAGAAGCCCCATCGTCTCCAACATGTATCTGTTACCCCAGTGTAGGGGGTGAACAAAAACATCAGAGGAACAGTTCCAGGGATGTGGACCCATTGGAAGGATTGAGAACCAGAGGGCACAGGTTCCAAGATTAGGAAGCTCTGTAGATATTGGGAGTAACAAGTAGTTTGGATCCGAGAGTATGCTGCAAGCAGATTTGATCATTTATCTGGATTGTTAAAAGGGAGCTGTGTCCATCTTCTAAGTATCATAGAATCCCTACAGATCCCCATCAAGTCCACACCTATCCTATGCAGAGCATGCCACCCAGACCCATGCCTTGTAACCCTGCATTTCTCATGGCTAATCCACCTAGCCTGCACATCTTTTGACTATGAGAGGAAATCCATGCAGGCACAGGGAGATTGCACAAACTTCACACAGTTGCTCAAGGGTGGATTTAAACCCAGGTTCCTGGTGCTATGAGGCTGCAGTGCTAACCACTGAGCCACTGTGCCATCCTAGTTGTTGTAGTTGTATTTTAGCACAAAGATTATTTGGTAGCCAGCTAATGGCAATCACACCCTTGTTCACAAGCCGGAGCTGTCTTAAGGTGCTGTGGGGGCAAGGGAGGATCTTGCACCTGAAAACAATTAAGTAAATAATCCTCAAGTGGGAAATGCAGCCCAAGAAGTGAAGCCGATCTCTTCATAAGGTGCCAGGCCTTGGCCTGCCCATGTCAGTTCCCCCTCAGCTGATTCATGGCAATAAAGCCTTCCATGGGCCGAGGAAAGTCAGTCAGAGTAAGCTGTGACAGCTCCTACTCCTGGTCCTTCAGCGAGGATTTCTGTTGGGAAGTGAATGTGTGGATGTCGGGCAGGAAGGTAGACTGCACTTACTTCTGAGTACAACTCATGGTCTTAGAGACATATAGCATAAAAACAGACTCTTCAGTCCAACTCAGCCTTGCCGACCAGGTTTCCCAAACTAAAACTAGTCCCATTTGCCTGCATTTGGCCCATATTCCTCTAAACCTTTCCTATTCACGTACCTGTCCAAATGTCTTTTAAATGTTGCTTCCTAATCTTTTATCTGCTCTGGGCACTCCTTCCCCTGCCTGGAGCAGAAGCAGTAACAACTGAACAGAATAAAAGGATGACACGTTGAAGACAGAGATCGGGAGGAACTTATTCTCTTGGAAGGTAGTGAATCTGTGGACTTCTTTATGGCAGCAGGCTGTTGAGTCTGGGGCCTTGAGATTTTCAAGACTGAGGATTTTCAGTTTTAATCAATAATGAAATCAAGGTTTACGGGGGAAAAGGTAGCAAAGTAGAGTTGAGAATTCTTAGGCCAGCCATGAACTGGTTGAATGGCCTACTTGCTCCATGAATGTAGGAGATTGAAGAGTGCCCTTATTGAGGTTTATAAAATCATGAGGGGCATAGAGTGGAAGAGTTCAAAACTAGGCAGCATGTTTTTAAGGGGAGAGGAGAATGATTTAAAAAGGACATTAGGGGCAACTTTTTCTTTAGCACAGAAGGTGATTCATATCTGAATGAACTGCCAGAGGAAGTGATAGATGCAGGTACAGTTACAACATTTAAAAGAAACTTGTATAAGCTTATGAATAGGGAAGGTTTGGAGGGATATAGGCCAAGTGCAGGCAGGTGGGACTAGTTCAGTTTGGGAACATGGTCAGCATGGACTGGTTGGACCAAAGGTCTGTTTCCTGTTGTATGACTACGACTGGAATAACACATACACTCACACAATACAATTACACGAGATTGTTGGTGTTTTACAGGTTCCCCTTGTGGATATGATCCCAGTGATTGAAAGGCTGCTAATTGCTGACTACAGTAGTTTTTCTTTGGATACAGCAACACAATTGTGCTTGAAGCACAGCAGCTGTAGGGACACTGATTGGAAATATGTAAGGGTTGGCTGGCTAATTGCGGTTGAGACTACAACCAGATCAGCTATTATTTGACCAGACACCAGTCAGGCCACAGCTGGAATATTATCAACACTTTTTGTCCCTTTCTCCATTGAAAGATGCACTCAGCATTTGATGCAGTCCAGAGAAGGTTCATTAGGTTGTATAGTATGGAGGGACTGTCTATGAGGAGAGGTGGAGTACCTTGGACATATACCGGTTGGAGTTTAGAAGAATGAGAGATCATAATGAAACATACAAGATTCTTAAGGGACTTGACAGGGCAGTTGTGGAAAGGTTGTTTCCTCTTGAGTGTGTGGATGATCAGAGGGCACAACCTCAGAATAAAAGGTTGACATATTGAAGACAGAGGAATCGCTTCTCTCAGAAGGCTGTAAATCCATGGAATTCTATGTAGTAGAAGGCTGAGTGTCTGGGTCATTTAGTATTTCAAGCCCAAGGTAGACAGGTTTTTAAATCAGTAATGTAAGCAAGGGTTACGGGGAAAAGGTAGGAAAGTAGATTTGAGGGTTATTAGGCCAGCCATGATCTGGTTGAATGGCAGAGTGGGGCCTAATGGACTACTTGCTTCTTATAGTCTTAACATGGGAAGCAAGCTTGAGCGCCCTCCTACAACTACATTGTACAACTTGCACTGGTTGGCAGTACCAGTTAATTGCAAATGGATACAGGGAAAAAAAACTTTATCTCCCATGATGAAGAATTCTCAACTGGCATTAGCAACAAGCTCCCAGCACTGTGACCCGGTTACTGCTGCAGTGACCACCACACCCAGTCTTCAGGAAAAGGGAAAGAAGAATTCAGAATGAGACAGTGGCTCCTAAGTGAGAAACCCAAACTCAATGTTTTGCTCCCATAAGTTTTCTTTATCACGGAACTATGTCAAGAGCTATTTGCAAATATTTCATTGCAATTTTCATTCCACATCTGCAAACCTCCCGCACGGTATGAGCACTTAATCAGTCACACCTATTGTGTTTGTTGCAACTTTTATTAGTGGGAGATGCTGAAACCCGCATGCAAATGCACACAGCATGGATTAGTGGATTCTGTGCAGTGTCTGTAGTGGTGAGCCCTTTACACAAACATTATACAAATAGAGCGTTAGTGACTCCAGCACACATACACCAGCCTTGACTGCACTGACAGTCCTGCTCACACCTAGTACTTTTTGTAGACTAAACTCTTGGGAAATCATCGTGTAGCCAGACTCAAAAAGGGTGCCTTAATATGACCAGTACTGGCCCATTCCTTATCTTGCCCTGTGTTTTACATACTCTCCACTCGCCTAAAACTGCCAGGTTAGATTGTTAGCTTACATTTTCCATCCTAAACCCATCGGCCCTCAACCAGCTCACTAGCTTTACCTGATTTTGGTCGAACTAATTAAAAGACCGTCCTCTTAATTTCTAAGTAAACTACTGATTTAGCAAATCTGTTATAGGTCGCTGGGCGAAGCAGTCGTTCCGCACACTTTGTTCATTCCTCTGCATTTGTGTTGCTATTGATAGGTCAATGTTTTAGTCTGCATCACCCTCTCTGCCCTCTTCCCAAACCACAGCGTTTTCAAAAATCTTCGCCTCAAAAGAAAAGTGATGTAACCTTTACTTTCCCTCCTAATCTTTAGTTTCCCGCTCAGCACTGGTCTCTCCATTTCATGAAGTCCTTGATGTTAGGAAATGTCATTTAAATACGAGCTGTTCCGTTTGTTCTGAATACACTCAGGCCCCAGGACAAGTCCTATATGTAATAATACAGACAACTCGTACACAGTTAGTTCTGTACACACAGTCTTTGCTGTAGTTTGATTACAAACACACCTCATTAAAAGAGAAGCCCTTAACGCATCAATGAAGCTACAGCATTTATTATAAGTGCCATCCATGCATATCACGACTGGCAGCAACGACTAATGACATTTGGTAGTAATTTACAGCAGTAAACTCATACAAAGGATAGTTGTGCATTTCTGTTTTAGCTAGGATTAATAAAACGTGCAGTAACAAAAAAATACGAACACTGAAACACTGACTGTAGAACAGCAGTACAGAGAAGAGCTGGTGTTGCACAAAATGATAATGATTTCATCACTATATACATCATAGATATATACACATCACCCTTGGAATGCACAATATCAAAATACTCTGTATTCCTTTATAGAATAAAACCCTGGTTCTCTCCCTGTCCCCTTTCCCACCCCAGAAAATAAAAGGACAATTTCAAAGACAAACAATATATTTACAATTAAGCACATGAACACCACAACACTTGTTTATTTGTTTTTGTTTAAAATGTGCCACAAAAGCCAGTACTGCTTTTGTTACGTTAGAAAGAGGTTAATCTTCCTCCTGCTTGTAGCCTGTGTTCAGAAACTGCCAAAGTGTCCTCTTTACTGCAAACCACAGAGAGCTATCACATTGAGACAAAAGGCAGTGTATACAAAGAGAAATAAGCCAATTCCAAAGGGTTTTAGACTCCTGTTCCAAGAAGCCTCATAAAGAAAACAATTGTTAGCTCAGTCTTTCATTTAATTATGAAAATCAAATTGGAATTGAAAAACACTGGTTTTGTTTTTACAAGAAGCTGTCCCATTGCTGTCAGAAATGGATACCAACTTTTTAAAAATTTCAATAAACAGAAAAAGTAAAAGAAAATTCTCAGAGGGCTTATAAGCCTCTGTCGTCGCAATACAAACCCTTGGTGGGTTCCAGCATGTCTTGAACAAAAAGTTAGTGCTGCTGACTCCAAACTGAATTATTTACTTCCAAGCAATAAAGACTTTTAAAAAATTAAATATACAACAGGTCAACAGGATATAAACAAAAGTTATTCATCAGGATTTTTGGAACAAAGGAATCAAACTAATACCTTCTGAAAGATTCAACTCAAGTGCAAAGAGGTCATGACAAGACTGGGGCCTGTCCCACTCCAGTCAATGGAGTCAGATCCCAGCTTATACCAACTGCACTATAAAGTGAATCATTGTTTGAAGTGTACCTAACTATGAGCTTAAGCACAGCACAAACATCCTTCTCCAGCAGCCCCCTTGCTGTTTGTAAAGGTGTGCTATTCAAAAGCAGCAAGAATCACTAATGTAGTGATTCTGCCAATTGTTAATGGCAAATATAACAAATGCTTTCTTTAAAATTTACTTCATTGTTCTGTGAAAATGAACATTTGGAGCCTCTCTCCAAGTCTGCACTCAAGCCAATATTTAAATGGTTTCTGTGCAGAATGTCTCTCCCAGATCATAAATTTTCAGTGACTCAGAAGTCTGAAATTGTAATTTGCTCCCTGTTGCTTTCCTACTTGATGGCCCATTCACTACCACGTGTATTATCATGGCTTGGCAGCTGACTGAATGCCATCCCTTTCTTTCCTTCCAACATCAATGCTAATCCACCTGGTTACCCATTTGTGAAATGTCCAAAATTTCCCAACTGAGGCAAGTAAGTCTCAGTGACAGGTCTTGAAACTTTGCTAGTCTATAATCAGGTTCCTGTATTTTTCTTTGATACCACTGCTGTCATCCAACCACAGCGTTGCATTTCTTTTTCACTACTCAAGGGAAGACTGCACTGGCACTGACAGTCAACTTAATGCTTGCTTTTAAAGGGTATAGGTTAACCTATATATATCGTTTTCAATTTCAGTGATTACTTATATTTTATTAAAAATAGAATGCACCTTTTAAAGGTAGTCAGTAATATTTATATTCCTACATACTGTATAACAAAGTAGGGCTGCCCTTTATGGCAGGCCTGTCAAATAGTGCAGCTTAAAAATTCATCTTAAATATGTGCTGCCACCTTCTGTTTCTTAGATGATTTTTTTTGAGAGAGAAACTATTTGCATTTTTTTTTTAAAAACAGCAAGAACTCAACATTATCCACATAAAAAAGTTCCTAACAGTGCAGACTGAAAAAACTTCTGATGAGATTATTTTCCCAAAGGGATCTGTATGTTTTATACGGAGAGGCATGGGGTGGAAAAAAGCTTAGCCCTTTACTTTGGTGACTTCCATATGCCCTGGCCTGAGCACTGATATAATGACTGACCATTTCCTCATTCTACAGTCTTTTAACTGCCAGGTGTTTGCCATTTCTACATGTTTGATTTGCTTTAAATTGGAGGAAGTCAGAATCCAGCACATTCAAGTTAAGCTGGAGCCACCCTCATGGAAGCTAAATTTTAACAAACATACTTTAAAAAACTCACAACACATTGCTCATTTTAATGCAGTTTCATTTAAAAATGACAAAGTAGGGTTTTAAAATGTGCCAACATTTGTAAACAATGGATCCAGTCAATGACAGACTCTTACGATTAGAATTCAGGCACTACCCAATGTCTCAGTGTTCTGTCTTTTATCCCAAAACAAACAAAGCTGGCTAAACACATATAGATTGAAATTCTAGACTATTTTGTAGGCTGATGAGAGGACACGTTGAGACAACTGGAGTCAGAGGGCAAGGAGAAATCTAAGCTATCCAACATAAGTTGACTGCTATCACACAGATGGCCTGTTGATGCTCATCATACAGATTCTGTAAAGTTGTCTAAAAACCAAATGTGACAGTCTGCAGTAACAAATTACTTTGATTACTGGCAGGCTCTGCAAAAGCAGGAAGTATGTGGAAACTTCCTTTTAAAAGTACCTGTTCCATTGCAAAGCAAGTTTGTGGTGGATTTTTTTTTGCCGAGGGAGGGGAGAATGAGAGAAGATGGCAAGAATCACATTTTAGCATACTTGTATGTTAAGTGCATACTTCAGAACTGGAACGGTTTATGTACTGAATTTCCAATACTGTGGATCTGAAGTTCAGAATATTACTAAAGAAAATAACCTCTAAGCAACGACAAAGCCCATTAGTTTACAGAGGGCTTTACAGGGAGAGGGCAAGGGAGCAGCTGAGCAAAAGTGTGAAAGGCAGTGCAGAATTAGAGGTAGGAACTGAGAGCTAAGGGACTTGATTTTGCAATGCTGTATATTGGAAGGAAAGAATGAATGTCAGAGTCAAAGATTTAGACTATGGAGTCCAAATAACAGTGTGAAGAGACAACAAAATGATAGGTACAAACTAATGTTTAAAATATGCCCAGATAACCAGTTATTAATTCATTCTAGTTTCAGAAAGATTTCCTTAAAATAGCACAGGTCTACATCTGAAAGTGATGCATGTTTGCCACGTCTATCAACAAATGCAATTTTTATTCCAAGCTGGTATACGCAACAACTAACTTGTGCTTGATATTTCATTGATTTTGGCTCCAGTTGTGGGAGAAATAGAGCCAAGAAAATCTTTTGAACAAGCCTACACAGCTACCTATAGCCACAGCACCTGCTGCTAGCCAAGACCTGAAAACAATTCACGACAATCCAGAACTTCAATTTGCAGGAGCAGGCAACAAGATTCTGGTTAACTTCATTTATAATTAAAACCGCCTCAATTTAGATGCATGAATTCTGTGTCTGGTTCAATGTGTTTCAAAATGAAGTGCACAGCATTAAAAAAACATTTTTAGTGGGCTAAAATTTCACGAGAAGCTGAACAAATCTTTTTCGGTATAATTAACTTTGTGCCTGCTCATACCTCTCCTATTGTCATGCAAAATATTCTTAACTGCCTAACTTTCAAAGACTAGATGCAAAATCTGCAATAAATTTACATTACATATATAGTGGTGAAATATTAACTAAGTGTTAAACTTTTGGAAATTAACCAGAGTTTGCTTTGCAATAGCGTACTCACAAAGGCAATTAGTATTTTCTACTAAAGACTAGGGCTGCATTATACAATCCTTCACTGAGTGGTGCCGTTGCTTTTTCCTGCAGTGTATTTTGGGCATATGAACAGCACCATGATATAAAACATTCTATCAAAATTTTGATGTATTCAAGATAACAACAATGACTGAATTGTGAAATGTGCACAGCAATATTTCAACCTAGGTTTATCCATAAACCAGGTCATGGCTTAAGAATCTTTGGCAAAGGATTTTTTCAGTGAGCTGTTAAAAAATGCCATCTCCTTGAAGCTTCAGTCTGATACAAGCTCTATAATGAAGGTATAATTAGAATTGCTACACTAATCTCTGCACCCTCTTGTAAAGTATTAGTCTTTCAATAATAAAATGGTAGTTGAAACTTGACAATATAGGGAACAAGACCAAGCAGCATAAAGGAAGGGATGAATGCAGTTTTTGTGCAATATATTTTTAATACCGTAAATTTAGCTTATATATTAGCAAAAAAAGGGGAGATGTCTATTGACCTTTGTAATGCAAACATTTACATTAATTGTTTTCCCCAGAAACTTCATTAAATACAAAAAGTGCACCAGTTGACCTCCCCATTTCAGCATTATCTTACCATACTACAGCGGATTTTACACAGTTCACTCTGGCAGTATCATCTTTTAGTCTGTTTTAAATCTTCACTGGAATCTCTGTAACCTTCCCAAAGAACTAGAGTACAGGCACAAATCCATTTGGGGCTCAAATGCTATTTTTTGGATACTGTGTCACAGTCATACTTGAAAAAAATGGCTCAGTTTAGCACTATTCCTGCACCCCCACCCCCACCCCATTAAAGTCTAAGCTGATCTTTCTGGGGGAGCAATCAAGATGCTACAACTGCTCTCAGTGTCCCTAGGCTATGAAAAAAATCATAGATTTCTGCACCTGATCTCTATCCACTAACGTCCGTAGCAAAGTGCATGCACCTGTGCGATGTGGAGACATTGGCGGGGGCGGGGGTTAACATTAGTCAGCTATGGGGGCCCTCATCAGAAAGTAGCCTGCCAACTTTCTGTCTTGATTCAGAGGTGGTGCCCAATTGGATAAGGTATAGTGGACCTCTGTAGCAATGCAAATGTACCTACATTAAACAGCACTTTCAGAAGCAGTCCTACACACAACTAAGTATAAACTAATCAGTCCATGGTGCTGCAGGAGCTCAAGGAAATGTAGTTTTTGCAATATGAACTACTTGGTTTAGTTCATCAAATATTAGTACAAGAATCAAGTAAAAAGCAATGATATCTGAACTACATTGTGAAGGGCCAGCATGTGAAACACAAGGACAGGTCATACAGAACATCCAGAGTAAGATCAGTTTTAGAAAGAGAAGCTTCATCAGGACTCTGATAGAAGGTCTCAACTGGAACATAAACTAATTTTTCTCTCTCAGATTTTGATGAATTTGCTGTGCATTTCTAACATTCTAGTTTCTAGACTACTGCTAATTCAGTAGTCACTTGGGGAGGGGTTAAGCTTTTAAGCAATCACAACTGAAATCTAATTATATAGAAGGGATATTGGTTACCTATACAAGATATAAATCTATAGACAGCAAACTATGGATTAGCTGGGATATGGTAGAGTTAAAACCCTCACGAAATTTAAAATGCATGTACGTTTTACTTAGTGACTGACACACAGAACAATGCAAACCCTTAGAACAGCTAATTGGTTAACATATGCAAGAGGGTTAACCAAGTAAAAATCCCATGCCTAACCAGTGAGCTGCACAGTAATGTTCCTCTGTGTAAGCCCTCCCCTTCATGCCACTGCACAGAAGCAAAACATTGAAGAGGAAAAGCAGCAGGCGAAAACCAGTGCAGCTGAAGCAAGAGTTAAAAAACATTTACAGAACTGCCCTGTATAACAAACAAAATCCACAGATTGTGTTTCTCTTTCTTGAAAACAAAGTGTATTTAAACCATTATAAATAGGGAGTTTCAGAAATGGAATAAGACAGAAATTTAGAAATAGCAAGAAAGCACAGACAAAGAAAAAAGTCAGCACCCTGGCAACTCATTGAAGCAGCACAAACAATTGCATGGTTTATTTTGCCGTGTGGGATGATTTAGCTAACAAGACAATTTGCATGTAAATCCTTTAGTTTTAGGCCACAGCTGTAAAATTTGTCTCTGTTCAGAATTTATTACGATTGTAAACCTGGAATATGCTGTTAAATGCTATGAAATGAATTGTTCCACCATGACTTCTATGGAGTCATAGCTCTTCTAAAGATTGAAGGAAACATTCAAGACTCATGTTCAATGGTACATGTCACAGGACGTACAGTTTGATATCTTGGTTTAGAGCAAATAAAATGCAAGTCTTAGTGGCCTAGCTAGTGGTCTTACTGCACAGGTATTTGTGAACTGCAGAAGTTCTCCATCCTGTTAGGTACATGGAGATTGAGTAAATCAAAACTTTTCAGTATAGGATTTCTGTTACTAGACTGCAACTAGCATACCCGAGAAGCCAATTATAAATGTACTGAGCTTGTGTATTCTGACACCATCAAATCCGAAATTAGAGTGTATGCAAAATATAACAGCGTAAAAACACTAACCACTTAACTCCAATCCCAAATGCAAACAAGGCAACCGGAGAGGAAAGAGAAGCTGAAGGAGGACGCTGAAGGAGGACACTGCACATCACTAAAAGCAGGTGCTCTGCTGGGAAAGACCCATCAAATGACTCAGGAATGGGTCCTTAGAGCCCCAGTGTATTACAAACAGGGGTTTGACTTGAATCACAATTTAAATTGTAAACACTGAGAAAGGTTTGCATTCACACATCAGTACAGCAATCCGAAAGCTTAACTAAAGGAACAAATTGATTTGTTTTAAAAAAGGGGGAATAATCAAGTAGGCACTGCTCCAGAAAGTGCATATTTAAAAAACCCATCCTTGTCAATTAAAAACAAAATCGAAAAAGATGCAACACAGGTATTAAAAGCAGGCCTGGATTTCTATTATGAAACTCTCATTTATCCACCACTAAACATGCATAGCTGACAAATGCAGAATTGGTTAACATGCTTCCCCTGCAGCACTTCACAAAAAGGAAATGCTGCATTGCAGCCTTTTCCATGATGGCCAAAAGGAGAGAGAAAGGCAATGGTCAATATTTCATAAGATCTCACTACTTGCAAATCCTGCAATCTGTGTTCCATTTCTTTGCAATATGGCATGAGTGAGACTTGGAGACTATGAAACTCACCAGAATTTGTTAAGTGTTTACCTTGGGAGATTTCTCTTGATTACAGTCACTACCACTCAATGCAAGAGACAGGCTGCTTTTCTCATTACCAAAATACATTTACCTCAGGGGTACTAACCAATACCACGTCAGCACTTGGTACTTGATACCTGCAAACCCCAAATATAATGCTACCTTCTTGAGATGTAGTAGCCTTATTAACAGGCATCCAGGCAGAATTTCTGGGAAGAATCCCCTACAGTTCAGATTTGGAAGCTGGTGTTGTGTGCACAAAGGCTGGGGATCCAAAGTTAAGCTGTAGTAATGCAATCTTTGGAGCGGTAGAAAATTTTCCCCCAGGTACCCTAGTATCGATTTCAATACTAATCCTGGTACAGCAACTGGATTTTCAACAAAAAAAGTTTTTTTCTTTGCAGCACCATATGTAGACAAAATTGTCTCAAAAGAAACTCATTTTGTAGAAGATGCCTCTCCCAGCTCACGACTGCATTCCTGGCCTACTCCAGGAAAGGCCATCTAGAAGCCAGCTTCCTTGACCCCTATCGGTGTTTGATCCCCCCTACTGGAACGCTCCCCCAAATGAAGTCACACACCAGGAGAGAAACTCTGCACTAAATAGTACCATCCTACGCAATCTCAGATCGTAGCTAAGCTACATCACTTAGATAAGCGTTGCTCAGATACTCAGACCCTCCATATGTCCTTTCAGTTTTAAAAAAAAAACAAAAGCGAAAGAAAATTATGTTCAGAATTAGAAAATGCTTCATTGCTTGTTACCACTGCGCCACCGCTGAGCGGCCGACAGGTAATTCCACATTTCTGTAGTGACTGCAAGCAGAAGGCGTGTTTTCTCCCCCCCCTCCCCCAAGAAGTACAGCTCTCTAGCACAGTCACGGTCGGGCTGTGTCCAGGCAGCAGTCCAGCGATTGTGGCCAGCATCGGCCAACACAATAAGCAAGAAGCTAAAAGAACATCTGAGTCACACTGACAGGAAGGGCTTCCAACAGACTTGTCCTTAGGAAGAAGAGTTAGACAATGGAATCCCAGTCAAAGTCATCCTGGATGTCATCTGCAGGATTGTGATGTTGAGACATCGGTCTGTGCATTTGGAAGCTGGAAGGTGACATCATGTGCTGTTGGTTCATTCCTGCATGGTGTCCTGCTGAGCAGAAATGTAAAAAAAGTAACATTATTGACAATGAAAAAATGGACTGTGATAAGTGTCATTTCTGCCTTATAAGCTATGTAAAATCCATAAATTATATATAGTGGACACTGAGGCAAAAAAGGGATTCATTCAGTTGAGCTGAGGGCAGACAATGGTTCACCACAGATTTTAAAAAATTCTCCAGTCATAATCCAAGGCCTCAGAGCATGGCAATCAGCCTACTTACAGCAAACGCTAATGCTGCTTTGATCAATTAGCATTTATCGTAAGCAATGAATGTGGTTAGTTACTGGAAATTTTAGAAGAATCTTAAACTTGGACATCCAGCTATAATTGTGGATTGGTCAACTTAGGTGAATCTTAAAAATTCAAGCATGGGACTTAGCAATGAATGGTGCCCTTGCTAAAATAGCCCACTATAAGCAGCTCAATATGTTTTCTACACTCAATTAGCCTTATCCCATTAAACAAATTGTTAGGGCAAGTGTCTTATCACCAGAATTTTAAATAAATGGAGACTCCTCTCCCACCTGTTTAATCCCATTCCAAAAGATAATACCTGCTTAACCTCCCTTACCTCATTAAAATGCTAATTCTTTGTATGACCACTACATACTGGTATGCTATTTTATAACAGAGGTCATCACAACTACTAAGCCATGTTCTTAACTAATCTGTACCAATGTCCAGCCAGGATGGCAAGCACTGGTGAATTTGAAATGTCAGCTGATTTCTCTTCCAGGTCTAGAGGCACCAATTGTATGGCCCCACCATAAATTAACCAATTTATCAAAAATGGGGAACTGATCGTTATTCAGTGAATCACATGCATGAGCATATGCTTAAACAGTCTAGCAAGCCTGATGCAAACTGTAAACCGAGCCCATGGAAAAGGCAATATGATACATCTGTGGCTTTGCATTTCTGGTTAGAAATCATATGGAAGTAATACACAATCTTGTACACAGGGGCACACACAACGCATTGCTATATGCAGCATAGTAGAAACAACCTAATTCAGTTCTCTCCCACTTGAGTGTCGGATGTGCTGGCCTGTTACTGACAAACATATCAAGCACAGACCAAGTGCCTGTATGAAAAATAAACCTGATTTTGATAAATCAACTTAATCTACCTGTGCTCTCATACCCAATCCCTTTTTCAGAAAAATATCAGTTTTTTTTCCTGAATGCATTTCTATCTGCTGCAGAATCTTTTTTCCAATAGCTGGTTCTTCAACTGTTTTCAAACGCATGTTCTCCAGCTTTTCAACATTTCACCATGAAGCAATTTGTCTGGATCAAGAAATTAGTCTACTTGGATTCCACAGCAGAAATTGGAGTAATTTAACCCATATTGCCTGTCTCAAAGGACTTCCCAATTTGTTGATTGCAGAAAAATGCATGACAAGGATTTGTCAATCTTTTCCTTTTAAAAGCTATGACACATTCTGCTTCCCACTGCATCCAAAGGGAAAATGTCATCAACTATACTGGAGTCTGGGAGATAGAATGATACAAATATGCAATGAAATTTAAAATATTTGGGTTTGTTGCAGTGCTGTTAAGATTAAATGAAACTGAGTTTCTGGTCAAAATCCCAATTTTATCATTATTAATCAAAATAGCAACACTACAATGCACCAATGTATTAAAATAATTAATAATTGGTAAACAGCAATTTAACTTCAGTGTGCTATTTACTGCTTACCAGCAAGTGAAAAGAAATGAACTGAGGATTTGAATGCGCACAGGAAGAGAAGACAACATGAGCTTGGGAGCATGCAAGAACACTAATTAATTTTCAACATTCTAAGAGCACAACACAATCACGACAATCATTCCTATTTGCATATTATCAGATAACTATGTGTTTACATAAAACAACACCCTCCCCACTTCATTTCAGGAGTCTGTTCTATGCGACACTCCACTATAACTATAACAAAATTATATCATGCTTACTATTTGGCTCACAACATTGCCTTTTCAGAAAACTACACTGATACAAACATCCAAGGATGAGTTAGGAACATCACCAAGAGAACCAATCCATTTGAAGTAGGATAGGACACAGCTGGAATCAAACTGTAAGTGACCATTCTAAGTTATTAGAAATATCACTACATATCTACAAGACCAAAAAAGTTCACTTTCTCAATATTTTTCAAGTATTCGATAACGGATCTAATAATGTTTTTGGTGCAACTGTTTAATTCAATATGGCGGACATAAAATAACAACCTGGATTTGCACCTGAAGCACTATGACCTGCAAGACTATCCATCAGGTGTTCATAGATGAGATTAGAATACACAGCTTGTTTGATCAGCTATGGTGAACCAGCCTTTTTCTGACCTGTAACTTTTGTATGGTCCTATGGTCAAACCAGTCCTGCTGAACTAACAGAATCATTGTTTCAAACATCCAGAGGCGTGTGTCAAAATTGGGTGAGCTATACCACAGAGTTCCAATACAGTAATCAAACTGATCAAAATCAACTCCAGGTTTATATGCGCTCTAGAACTTTCCTGAGTTTTAATCCAAAATTCTCATAATGCATCATAGACTGAAAAGCAATGGATGTACCAAAGGTTGCAAGTAGAGTCTGTCTAAACTTCTCATGGAATAGTGAGGAACTGAAAGTCATCCTATAAGATTTGATGGTTCCAGCTAGATATCACAAAGAAATAACAAGTTTAGAATATCACTAGATGTCACATTGTTGACTTACTGAAGGGAGGGACAGGTGGAAGTCATTCAAGACCTTACCTCAACCTCCCAATTTTATGCAAGGCTTAACTGCTGATTTAAAATCAAAGATCCTTCAACATGGTAGGGCAAAAGAGCACTGGATTTTAAATAAGAGATAACACAGTGTGGAGCTGGAGGAGCACAGCAGGCCAGGCAGCATCAGAGGAGCAGGAAAGTTTCAGATTGGGACCCTCTGTGCTTCTCCAGCTCCACACTATGTTATCTGACTCCAGCATCTGCACTTTTATTGCTATCTCAGGATTTTAAGTATCAAGTTATTGATTTTTCTTATTCTCATACGAGAATTGAGGATTTTTTGAAGACTTTGAGTGAACTTTGAGACAACGTCGATTTACATTCAAGCATATTCATGAATGTTTTCAAAGTGTATCTTAACTAAGTTGTAATGTTTTAAAAGTTTGGTTCAGTAAACTGTACAAACAATTTTTGCTTTTACTTTATTTATTTTGATGCAGTGATGGCTGAGTCACAACTTTGAAGGCATATCAAAGCCAATATCATAAGCACTTTCCAGAATAAGATAGACAAAACTGCCCAGCACACCACAGGAAATACCCAAGAAATGAAAGTATGCTTGTTCTCTGAGGAATGCATGACCACAAAACATAGTACTCTTCTAATCGACCAGACTACTACTGCACATAATATGCATCTTAGAGATATGCAACAAATCACACTTGTGATTTTCATCCCAAAACAATTTCAAAATAAATATACTTTGAAAATCAGCAAGACAGGTGAAACAATAGAAGATTTGGTGGGAGCAGATTCAGAGATCTAAGCATGCAGACTGTTCTCTAGCACCTATGTCAAGGAGTCATTATCTCAGTGTGTTGATTATGTATGTTGGAGAAGTACTTTACTCTTCAGGTAGCTGTTCACTGCCAAGCTACCTTATATCCACACATGTGCACACTTCTATGAGGGGTCAATGAACAGCAATCAGGATCAGGGTGCCTGGCTGATTTTTCTGGCCCCATCACATCCTGTCCACAATTCTCAGATTTTGCAATGAACCTCAGACATCCTGGTCTGTTGGACATCACTGCTACCAAAACAGTCACTGAGGGAGCTAAACACAAAGGCACAGTATCTGCTGCTAATTTTTTTTTTGATCACGTGTTTATGGAGGCTACATCCAATCATTAGCACTATTCTATGTTGACAGGAGGTGGGTCTAAAGGGTGGCATTGGAACATGTTTGTTTGTTTGTTAGGTCAAGAACATTCATTGAAATATTTTTATGGAACGTAGAATCAAATTCATCTCATTACATCAACTCACTTGCTCGAAAACACATTTTCGAATAACAGTGCTTAATTGTTCCTCAGCATTTTCTGACACTTTACAGAGTAAACTGGATTTGGCTGTGCATTTTACTTCAGCGCTCATGGTGTAAACATGAAGCTCAATTCTCCCTGTTTTGGAAGATACTGATGAATACATCAATCCTTAGGGAAAGTCAGCAGTTGAAAAATGCTTTTCAGCTAAATCACTGTTCATAAAACAGATCTACATGCAAATAGACTGATATACACCAGTTAATTCAGGGCTCCATACAAATGGTAAAATTTTGCTCAACATGAGAGGAAGACAAAGGAGAGGTTGCAGGGAAAAACATTGAATTTTGGGGTTTCAACCTTCAGGAACTTTAAATTGTGAACCTTTAGGTGCTATCAAATGTAATCATAAACATCAAGGAAGAGTCTGCATCAGGAACTCAAAATGAAATTGCTAGTGATCCAATACATTGCAATTTTTCAGCAGCAATATTAAAAAATGAATGTGCTTTTAGAATTGTTCATGTAAAATTATATACAATTCTTTTGCACATCTTCAGGACATCCCAAAAGACTTCAGAAGTACTTTAGGATTTGAAATAGCAGTATCCTGATTTAGATGACGCATCATCAACTGTGCCATGCTGAAAAGGCACATCATTTGGACAATGAGCAAAATGATACCTCTGAAGTCTGATGTCCACGAGTGCTTGCCCTGTTTAAGGATGCATTACAAAGGCAAGTTGACTGCAAAAGCTTTACCATTTCTAACTGTTTCCAGTTTCTGGCAGCAACATGCAAGTAAGATGCACCCAGGATCCCAGACATGCATACAACATGCAGGTCAAAAGGGAAGAGAAAGCAGGGAAGAAAATAATAAGGTGGCAGCCCCAAGAATAAGCAGTTAATATGGGGCAATTACCTGTCATGGCTGGTCCTGGGGTACTGAGAGGTGGGAGATGGGGGTACCCAGGGGGCCCCATCATTGAAGCAGGAAGGTTTTGTCTGGAGTCAATGTACAAGCTTCCTGTGTGAGAAAGTGGTGCAGGAGTGAGAAATCACCACTTCAGTGCAAATAAACATCAATAGTGTCAAACAACCAGATCCAGCATTACTGTCAGATCCAAATGCACATTTATATGGCTTGTTCCTAGATGAATAAAGGACATCTTGAGGAAATGTACAGAGGCAATAAAGAAATGGGTGCAATTTTATGTGACAAAATCACAAATTTTCATTTTGTCAATCATTCACTTCTGCAAAAAAAAACTGCCTGTTATTTTTGGATGAGCTGACTCATACAATAGTATGTACGAGAGTAAATCCATCTCCAGTATTGACTTTTTCAATTCAATTTAGAATGCAATATTAAGTTAATGTCTATTAAAGGGACAGGAATAATCCAAACATTTTACTCATCATCATGTACTAGTTATTTCTAAAATTTGAAAAAGAAATAAATATCAAGAACTCCTTAAGAAAGCTGACACACTGCACTTTTATCTTTCCACCAGGGCTTGAATCAGGACACTACTGATGGATAAAATTTCTTCTAGCTTTCAGGGGTCTATGTGATGGAGTTGGGATACACTCAATGTGGTACTCAATTACACAGACGCATAACCTAAATCCCTGGCTAAATCATCCTGAGATTATCCATCTCTTTTCCTGTCAGGATTACAGGCATTGAAAACGCAAGAAAGCTACATGGTTTATTACACTGAATTCTTCTGAAGTTAAGGCTTTGGGAACATTTGGAATGGACTGAATACAGGTTTACTCTCCATGAAATCTGTTGGTATTCTTAAGTTTAGAGTTTAAGAAGATGACAAGCATTCAATTTCAATTCTGAGGAAGGGTCACTCGACTCAGAATGTTAACTGATTTCTCTTCACAGATGCTGCCAGACCTGCTGAGCTCTATCAGTAATTTCTGTTTTTGTTTCTGATTTACAGCATCCGCAGTTCTGTCGGTTTTTATTAAGCATTCAATTTCCATCGCTGAAGTCCCTACTCAACTTTAAAAAAGGAAATTTGGATGACGACCAAAGGGAAAACATATTTTCGGTCAATCACATTGAAAAAAAACAAAATGTACTCATTCAACGTATTTAAATATAGTTCTTTTTTCACATCACAACTTCTTTCATTTGTTACAGTATTTGTCAAAACACAAGACTGATTTTTTTCCTGAAGTTGATATAATAAAATGGATGGAGACGCACGCACAAACGTCTACATGAATTTAAAATTGGTTCTTGTTGACTCTAACATGTCAAGTACATGATTACATCACAAAGGGAATCAGCCTTTAGTGAAGGAAAGAACAGATTGAACATTTGTCTATTAATGCAGAGTGCTGTATACATCCTTTAAATAATGTATTACAATATTCAGAATTTAAACATTTATAGTTAGCTCATGGCAATTTTGTTTCTCAGACCCACATATCAAGCTATTAATAAAGGAAGAGCAGCTGACCTTCAGATTCTGAAATAGCACACAGATTTGAGTGATGTTTTGGAAATTAAGACAATGGATGCTGAGGAGGCACAGCACAGTGGTGACCCAGTGTAACATTCAGACAAGGACTGTATTGTCTGAGCAAATTGCTGCGAGGTCCTGACTGAAAACCAGTGTTTCTCCACAGAGAAAGGGAAAATCTGGACATCACTGGGCAATTTCTATAGCTTCTTGTGAATTATTAAAGGCAGTTACAAATAACTTGGATCGAGTTGCACCTCTGCCAGATCTCTGGATGCAGACAAAACAAGAGGCGAGTAGAAATTGTGAGCATCTATGTGCATGTCTTTGTGTGGAACTATTCAACTGTATCACACCCTTACTTGATTCTGCCCTCTCAGTCCCTGTATCCCACAGGTTGGATGGTTATGATGGTAAGTGGCTGAGCAGGAATTGTTTGAAGGTGACTCAGCAAGGTACACAAGAGAGATAATTTTCCTTAACTCTAGGGGCTGAGCCATGTAGACCCCCTACCACTAACCAAAATCAAAATGAGCACTGGCAACTGAGGTGGGACCTCTATGACCAATAGCAGATTTGAAAATAGACAGTGAAATAACATTTTTCAAGAAAGGAGGGAGACAAAGTAGGAAGATGTGCCAGCTAGGCTAACATGCATCATAGGGAAAATGCTAGAATCCATTATTAAAGAAGTTATAGTGGGATACCTAGAAAATCATAGAGATTAGTCACAGTCAGCATGGCTTTGTAAAAGGGAAATTAAGTTTGATTTTATTAGGATTTTTGAGGAAATAACAAGCAAGGTAGAAAATGTAGAACCTTATAAATATGATGTACTTGGACTTTCAAAAGACATTTGATAAGGTGCCACAATAAAAAAAGTTATTACACAACAGCACATGTTGCAGCAGGAATTTTGCTGGCATGGATACAAGCTTGGTTAGCTAATAGGAAACAAAAAAAGGAATATATGGGTCTTTTCAGGTTGGCCTACAACCATTTGCAATCAATATCATGATGACATGAAGGAAACAAATGTACGGCTAAACTTGCCAATAACACCAAGACTGATAGAAACGTAAATTGTCCGGAAGTAATAGAGTCTACAAGGGGATACAAACAAGTATAGTGACAGGACAAATATTTGGCAGCTTGAGGTATGTGTGAAGATGAGTTTGTCCACTTTGGCAGGAACAATGGGAAAGACTACAGTATTCAAATAAAGAGATATTGCATGGTGGCAGAAGGATCTGGATGCCTGGTACATGAATCACAAGTTTTATGTAATGTAACAGGTGAAAGACAAATGGAACAGTGACATGTAAGGCAAGGAGAATGGAAATAAAAGTAGGGAAATTTTACTGCAGTTGTGTTGAGACCATATCAGGAGTACTGTGCACAGTTTTAGTCACCTTATTTCGAAACAAAAAGAGGACATAAATTGATTCAAGGTAATTCATAAAAGGTTTCCTTGGGACAAAAGGCTACTGAATGGGGTAAGGCTGAACTTATAACTTTGGAAGTTTACAACAATAACAAGTGACTTTACTGAAGCATACAAGATCCTGAGGAGACTTGATAGGGTGGATACTTGGAGGATGTTCTGTTCTGCAGGGAGACCAGAACAAGGAGGCCACAATTCAAGAAAAAAAGTTTTCTTTTTATTAAAAAGAGGTGAGATGAATTTTAATTTCTTTTGAGGGTTATTAGTATGTGGAATTCTCTTCCCCAGAAAATAGATGATGTTGGGTCATTGAATTAATTCAAGGTAGAGTGTGACAGAGTTTCAGTAGCCAAGCAGATGGAAAAGTGACCACATCAAGATCAGCTATGATCTTACTGAACAAAACGGTGGACTTGAAGGGACAAATGGTCCACTTCTGCTTCCAAGTCCTGCACTTTTTGATATGACACAGTTACTTAAATCAAACAAGTAATCAGAAGAATCAGCAACACAATGACGCCATCTCTAATTTTGCAGTAGACCAGTGCCTCTTCACTACTGACTAATCTGCTCTCTGGTGCTTATGGGTCCTTAATTTGAATTTTGTAATTCCGCTTAGCAGAACAGAGGAAGCAGCAGGCACTGCTTGTAATATGAAATGTCAAATAGTGACTAGAGTATGGAAAAGAGCAGCAGCAAATAACTGAAAACCAACATGTTAAGAGAAACCGGTTAGTAGAAGGCAGAAAACAGATAAGACGTCAAATTTAATTAAAAACAAATGGGCTGCAGATTTGGCAAGTCAGAGATCTGCATGCTGCAAATACAAAGAGGGAGATTTAGAGTAGAACAAAAAAGCAAACTAAAATATACAAGTAAAGCAAATCAAAGTAATCGTGAGAAACTGGAGAAACCTGCAAGAATTAAGCAAAATGTTGGTAAACTTGAGCACAAACAGCAAAGAAACTGTAAAAACAAAAGGAAGTTAATTTCACAAGACAGGTTTTATTAAAATACGCTAAACCTGCAGAGCAGAATGCTGTAAACAAATAGGTTAGGAATTAGCAAATAAGGGAAAAGCGTCACAAGGCTGAGCTGCAAAGCTCTTTAGTTAACAAATAATTTGATGTGCAGCGCAGTAACGGATGATTTTCATTTCACTGATTTGCAATAATGATAAACATACATCAACAAATGAAAACCAGGCTGAAATTCTGGCTCACTGATTGCAAGTTTGGTTCTGTTTCCCAATCCATGTCCACCCGCTACCCTGGATTGTCTCTTTGGGATTCCAGGAGATGACCAGAAGGTACCTGGAGTATTTCACATAAAACTGCCCAGACAGTACAGACTTAGTGTGCAAAATGATGGTGCTATGAATTTAGTTCCAAAGACACAGACAGTTTTGGTTTGGAAATGAATGAGATTCAGAGGCAGATAAAACCAAACTCCTTTCCTTTGCACATTAATGTTGGCTGTTTTCCCTGTCTTTCCTAAACAAATTAAAATATATAAAAGGTAAACATAAATTTTAAAAAATGGCCTGCTTGGCACCTTTTTCTTGGGGTTAAAACTGAGCAACAATTTATTGAATTGCCATGGCCTAAAAAACAAAAGATTAAACATATTTAAAGCTTCACCTATGTGAATACCTTATCTATAAATTAAAAGCTATATCTAGCTCTACGTTTTGGAGTCTATACCTGTACTGATGTGCTGGTTTGGTTTCTGCGAATGCATTGTGCTGTGACAAACCGAGGGCTGCATGTTCCCTTGTGACTGGATCAGACCAGTTTGTGTGAAGAACTGGTTTAGGGAAGAGCACAAGTCCGCAAACTGAACAGGATCGAGTGACCAGTTATTGAGATCCGCCTGTTTCATACTCTCCATCAGACCTGCGGATAAAAGGCATGACAGAGTGTTAAGGAGAGAATCCAGGGAAACAAGAGGCTAAAGAACCAATGGGTCCACAGCCTGCAGGCAATGCAGGTATCTTTCTAAAGAAAAGGCCAAGTGCAGTAACATAAACAAAAGGATTAATCAAAAGATCAGAACTAAAATTCAATAAAACAAAAACAGTGATCTGTAACCTAGCTCCACACATTGAGCACAAAGTCTATCAGCCAATTTTGTTGTGTGCACAGGATCAGGTTGGTTTGTGGATATGTGGTGAGCATGGCATGACAAAACAGAATATGCCTACTATTTCAAAACTGTCACAAGCAGAATTAAATAAGGTTACGTGCATAAATAACTGAAAAATATTTCTGCTCTGTAGCTCAGGGATGAAGTACCCAAATTGTTCTAGGATATTATAGGAGAAAGAGTATAATTTAACTTCCTCCAGAAATTATAAAACATCTTAAAACATAAAAGCACATGTTTTAATTATAATATTTGAGGCCCAAAACGTACTTCATACACTTAGGTTTACATTTTATTTTTAAATTGCCTGGTCTTCACTTATTTTTAAAAACTCATGTTTAAAAGGAAACAGTCAGAAATCACATGACAGCAGGTTATAGGCCAATAGGTTTATTTGAAAACACAAGCTTTCAGAGCCTCAGTCCTTCTTCAGGTGTTAGTGAGAGAGGTAGTATCAGACACGCAATTATAAGTAAAAGATCAAAGGGTCACACCATTGATGTGGATGTACTAAACAAACCTAACATGCTGTTATAACTTTAAATCAGTTAGAAGGTTTTAATTGATTAATATGTATATGTAAATTCCCAAATTCATTTCAAGTCATGGTCCTGAGACAGGTGTCGTGTGATTTCTGACCTTGTCCACCCCAGTCCAACATGGGCACTTCCATATCATAGAAGGAAACAGGAACTTGTACCTTGGAGAGCTCCAAATAGCCGCAGCAGCTGGGAGCACAGCTCCACATATCGACAACCTACCTTGGAACTGGGAGAGATCCACATCAGACCAGTTGAAACTGCTAGCAATACGGAAACTCTCCTTCAGAGTGTCCAGATTCATGCACCAATCAGAAGGAATGCCTACAACAGCCATAAATCCACCAAAGGCATTAGAACAACATAATGAAGACTTAACACATATATGATTAAAACATTGCTGTCCAGCAATCCAGCTATTTTAGCTCTTTCTTAATGTCAGCTTGGCTCAGTTGGTCGTTTGAACTTCAATGGATTCGAACACCTAAATCAGCTTAGAAAATTCTATGAGCCAATTTCAACAAAATAGATTAATGGAAAATAAAAACTATTTACGCTTTGAGAGACCTTGTGTATAAATTGGCTGTGTTTGCCCACAGAATAGCAGCATTTGCATTTTGAGTAATTTGGGGCTGTAATGCTATTTGGAACATTGAGAAGTTGAACTTATGGTTATTCTTTCCTTTCTCCTTAAGCCAATGATACTGGGTCAATACGCAAAACATATTTGGCTGGTCAGCAAATTCAGCACAGATAGATAATCAAACCCAAGACCTTGGATTTCATCTGACCTATTACTATATGATTTTAAAAGAAGATTCAAGCAAGAATTTACCAACGACCTTCATGCAAATGAACCTTAAGAATCTGACCCTCAAGAACTGCAGTATGAGAAGGTGATCTGATAAATAAAGTTAAAACTGTTTTAATTACTTTTCCTACCCTCTGTTGAAAGCAGACTCAAATGATCGCAAGAACAAACCCCTTGCTTCTCAACTTGATACAAGGAAGCTGCAAACCAGGTGCGATCAGTTTTTGGTAAGAGTTGACAAGGCAGGCTAGGCCAAAAGGTTGCAGGGCAGATTAAAAATCTGGTTGAACAATGCAATTTGCATTTGGCAAAGGGGGAATTAAAGTAAAGTGAAAGAAGCAGGGTTATTGTAGAAAGTCACAGATGTAGAAAACAGGAGGACGGGAGGGTAAGGTGGGGAAGAGCTAAAAGGGATGATGTGGAAGCAAGTGTTCCTGAAGTAATGGTTACAGCGGATGGAGAAATAAAATACAAACTACATCAGCACCTAGTGGCCAAACATTTGCAACAACATTACATTAGGTACATGTTAAGGCAAAACACTGAACATGTTAATGTCTACATACTTCTTTCTCCATTATAAAGGGAAGCAAGGCTGTTAGAAGTTAAAAATGTGCCCCACAGAACTACTCAGTGACTACAGTTTATGACAATGTGATAGACTGCACTGCAAAACTGCACGGAATATGTTGAAAACAATTTATCTTAGTAAATGCCAATACAGCATAAACGTTACTGTGACCAAAACAGCATTCAGATAAAAACACAGCAAATGCTATAAATATAGAGCAAATCGACAGGCTGATGATAAAAGAGGTAGCTTAATGTCTGGTCTGTTGAATGGTTTTCACCCAAGGTCAATTTGCTTTTTTGTTTAAATGCTGATAGATTGATGTATGCTTTCAAAATTTTGTTTCAGTATAACCTGCATCTATCCTTTTAGTTTTAATCACAAAGGTTCAAACGTTGCTTTGTTTTCAAACCTTAACATTTATTTACAACCTAATTTGCTGCCAGGTACACAACGGATTCGCTGTATCAACTTGAACAGATTTGATATACTTTGCATACGTATTTAAAAAACACTTTTATATACAGTCTGTCAACATCCTAAAGTACATCAAATTAAAATATTTACTGTCTGAACTACATTCAAGTCTATTGTGCAGTAAATGCAGCAGCCGAGATGAACGAAAATTTTAACGTATCTTCGGTGAGTTTTTTGAAGGAATAAACTATTCCAGGGAACATAACAAATATCCTTTTTTTTTTACAAACAGGGAGATGTACAACCCAAATATACATGCAATGGATCTTTTTATATGCTGTCACAAAGGCCACAATTAGCACCTCTCATGGTATTCCACCAAAGAATCAGTTTAGGTTTTCGACTGGCGTTGTGGAATGAAATTTGAACCCACAACCTTCAGCAGCAAGTCTGCTACCCGTCTAAGCCAGTTAACATGAACCTTAGCATTACAGATTTTTTTTTTTAAGCGCACAATATACATCAAACCTGCACTGATATTTACGCTTTCTATCTAAAGTCTTGTCAATATTGTTTTGAAGATAAATTTCCTTCCAGGTCATTACACTTCGATGTTATACAATCCTCTTCTGTGATGCTTTTAATTCTAACCTCAAAATGGTTCACTGCCCCAAAAACTAGTGACAGATGATTAACTGATCAGTACTTCACTTAAGTGTTACATAACTTAAAAAGCACTCATCAGACACAACCCAAGTATGAAAGGGCAGAAAGCAGAAACATTTTCATTGAAGTGATTGAGGATATAATTTTTTTAGGACCGTTACGATATACTAAAGTTACAAAGAGAACGGATGCATGATCATAGATATAGCAACTGTACAGCAATCTAATCAGGAAAAATGCTGGCTTGCTTGGTTAATTTTGAAATTACTTCTAATCAATCACATTTGTTCAGCTGGATTTAGTCCTGGATATTAGAGACCTTTGTGCAGCACCTGCAGCATGATGCATTTGATTGCAGAAGGACCTGAAATAATATTCACGAAACATTGCCCAGCAGTATCAGTGGCTAAGTGATGTCACAGTGCAGCAGTAAATCTACAGGGCCATGATTAGAGGAAAAACATAAATATCACTTCTATGCCTTGTCAGAAAAAGAAACTATTTTTCCAGCAAGTTTGCATAATCCAAGCATAAGCAGCTCGAGAAAGGCACAAGGTGTAGAATACAGTCACTTGCTCACTCAAGTTGTGCACTCTAAATTCTGAGCAGCAACATGAGGTTTTCCTCATGTTACTTTTCATTATTCTGCCAATCATGACTGGTTTTTGACCCTTCCATCAATGTGAACAGTTCCTTATCACCTACTCTGTCCAGACCTACTGATCTGTGTACCTCTAAGCAATCTCTCTGAATATTTTCTTCTCCAAATGAAAACAGTTTCAGCCCAGCAGAGTGAGAGGACAATGAGGAATGAGTGCCAACTTGAGAATTTGGGGCAGCTGGAACATACCTCGTAAACTTTTCTCAAATATAGTTTACATTAATATTTAGCTCCTACCTTGGAGCTTCAAAACGAAAATTTATTCATAAAGACTAATTTTACAAAAACTGCCTAAGCAGCGGCAGTTACCTGGCAATCAGTTGAAAGTGGTTGGCTGAATAGATGTTATTTTCTGTAAACTAGCCAGGTCTATAAAAACAGACTGTCACAACTTTTACAAATATATAAAAAAAAAAGGGTGGGGTTCTAACACTCCACAAGTATGTCAGAACATCCCTGAACAAGCTGATTGAAAATATCTATAAAAAGGGACGAGCACTTGAGGCACAGTGGTAATGCCCCTACTTCTGGTCCAGACAGTCTGGGTTTAAATCCCAATTGCTCTGAAGGTTTTTCATAGCGTGACCAAATAGATTGATTAAATAACTAGAAAAGGGAGAGCTAAAGGAAGCACGGAACAGAGACGGGAGAAATTCAGAGAAAATGAAGAAATGGTAGAAACACTGAACAAATATCTTGTAGGTCTTTCTTTTCAACAGAAAACACAAGTTAAATACCAGAAGAGAGGACAACTAGGGGTTTTATAGCAGTAAGGAAATTAAGGCAACTAATTTCAGCAGAGAAAAGATACTGGAGAAATGGAAAGGACTAAAATCCTATAAATCCCCAGAATCTAACGGTCTACTTTCCAGTGTTCTAAAAAAGAGGTAGCCACAGCCACGGTGAATGCATTTGCCACAATTTTCCAGAATTCACTGAGTCTGGAACAATCCTAGTGACTTGGAAGTTAGCAAATGTAACATGGTTTTTCAAGAAGGCAGGAAACAGAGAGCTGCAGGTCAGTTAACCTTATATTAGTCATCAGGATTGTGCCAGAATCTATCAAGGATGTCTTAACAGTGCACTTAGCAAATCCATATATCTACAATTTATATTACTCATTTAGGAGGAGGTACTGTCTATGTTTGCTAACACAAAGCTGGTGGGAATACAAGCTGTGAGAAGGACACAAATTTGGACAGGTTCATTGGGCAATTGACAAGGTGACAGCATCTGGGGGGAAACAGTCAGAATTTGAAATGTTGTTTCCTCAAGCTGGTGAATTGAGATTGTGAGGACACATTTTCAGGATAAGAGGTTAGTTATCAAGGGTTGAAACAAAGATTTCCATTGGAAGGATTCTGATATTTTGGAATTCTTTACCATTGAGTTTTGTGCGCCATCACTAAACATATTTACGCCTGAGACAGAGGGAATCAAGAGGTAGGAGGATAGGCATGCAAGTGAAGTTGATCACAGGAATCAGCTATGATTGTATTGACAGGTGGAACAAGCTCAACATTTTCTCTTATTTCTAATTATGTTCTCCAATCTATCCATGTTAACATAGTCCCACAGTCCTGAAATGATTCTTTTAAAGCTTTCCTGGCTCTCTCCAAACAAAGTCTTCACATCCTTCTTGGAACATAGTCCCCAAAAATGGACTAATACTCCAGTTGAAATCAAAATAATGTTTTATAAAAGGTTCATCATAATAATTTTGCTTTCATATTTCATGACTCTATTATTAAAATCCAGGATCCCTATATGCCTTATTAATTACTTGCTCAAAATGCATTGCCAACTTAAATGACTCACGCACCATATAAAACACATGATCCCTCTGCATCTGCACGTCACTTGAATTGTATTTCTAACTCAATATTATCTCTCCTCATTCATCTTACCAAAAACCATTCACACTTGTCTGAATTAAACTTCAGTTACTGTGTGGGTGCCCATACCAGTGGTTTATTTATATCCTCTTGAAGTCCATCAGTATCTTTTTCAGTTCACAAGAGTTTAGAAGTTTGGGATCTTCACTAAGTTTGAATTTGTGTCCTGCATACCTAAGACACTGGGTCACTTGCAGACAAGCCTGTCAAATTGTTCTTTATCAAACATCTTTTGGAAGTCTACATACACTGCTTCAAACATATTAACGCTGTTGCCTCAAAACAATTCAAGCTAGTTAAACATAATTAACCTTTAAAGATTCTGAGCTGGCTGTCCTTAATTTTCCAGATTCGTCTAAGTTACTACTAGTTTTGTCCTTTCTTCTTCCCCTACCCCGGAGGTTAAACTGACTGACCTGCAGCTGCTCAGCTTATCTTTACACTTTTGAACAGGATGTAATATTCACAATTCATCAGCATCTAAAGTCAAAAATCACACGACACCAGGTTATATCCAACAGTTTTATTTGAAGACACAAACTTTTGGAGTCTCAATCCTTCTTCAGGTGTCAGTGAGAGAGGGGGCATCAGCCACAGAATTTATAAGCAAAAGATCAAATGGTCATAGAATTGATGCAGTGTTGAACAAACCTAAGATGGGTGTTGAATCTTTATTCAGTTAGAAAATTGCAGTTATGCAAATTCCTGAATTTCTTGCAGGTCACTGCCCTGAGATAACTAAAGGTCTTCTCAGTTCCCTCAGCATACCAGATGTGACATGCCAGGTCAGACAATGCATTCTAGATGCGAGGCCTTGTTTAGAATCTGACTGCGTATCAACTTGGAGTCAGACTGGATTTATTTCCAAAGTAGGAATTTATAAAATGCCACACTGACCATCTACAAATAGTGTGCTTTTTGAACAAAATAGAATGTGTCTGCAGTTACAAACCCAGAAATGCAAATTCACCCCGTAGATTTACATGTGCGTGCGCGTATGGCCTCTACTGGAATCTTGGGCTCATGTCGCACTACACTTTTTAGTCTTAACACCCCCTCCCTCCCAACACACACACACACTCCCTCATCCCTTTTAATCTATGGGATGAATTTGCATTTGCACATTTGTAATTGCAGATACATTCTATTTTGTTCAAAAAGTGGCGGAATTTGGCACTTTGCATACACTGAAATTGAGACATATGATTACTCCAACTAGCATCCTCTAAAAATATTGAATAATCAATATAATTCCAAAACCAAACTGAGAAGAGAGGGTAACCTAGTCTTACCGATATTGCAGGCCATGTGTTGCTGTTGGTGATGGTGGTGCTGCTGCTGCTGATGGTGTTGCTGGTTTGGCTGATGCTGCGGATGTTGGTGCTGATGGTGCTGGTGGTGAGCGTGTTGTGTGTGGATCTGATGTTGTGCCAGTTGCACTTGTGTCCCTCCCCCACCGCCTCCGAGGCTGCTGGCGTGGCTGTTGGCCAGACTGTTCTGTCCACTGTGCGGATGGGTGCTGACAGTACTGCTGGGAGAATGCTGGTAGGAACAGGACGTGTGGGTTGGCTGTGATGCCTCAGAAGGCAGGTTAATCATTCCTGTGGGGGGAAAAAGATTAAATATCAAAACTGTGACAAATTTGCATAAAAATCATTAATCGTCTTGAATTCAAATAAACACTAAACAAATCCCTATTATTTTGAGACAATCACAGTAATCACAAATATGAACACTAATCCACACGGGACAATGAATATCTCCTGTTCCTGTAAAATCTCAATAAATTTTCAAGTGCCATTGCGTAGGATGTGGCGATTGGGAAAAAAATGAGGTGAACCAAGTAGCAGTTCAAACTTTTGCTTCAAAAGTCTATATATATAGTTGGGATAAAGCATTCAGAAGGATAAGGTCCTGGGAACAAACAAGTTAAAGTAGACCAGTTGATTCAGTCTTCTTAAGATATCAATAGTATGGATACAGGGCATGTAAGATAGTGTACTTGGTATTTAGCTAAGACAGAAAAAGATAGTTTGGAGAAATACACAGCATTCTAATATAACACTCCTTTCAATCTACATGAAAAATGCATATATCTGCAGGATAACCAATGTCACAGCTCATTTACTTAAAAACAAAACAGTGTTAATCTTAAATTAACAAGTCAAGTCCTTTGCAACTTGCATTGGATGCAGTAATAACACATATGAAGCACATGGAAAAGCAACACATACTACAACTGATATAGATTACACTATAAGACAAATGCTAAAAAAAAATGAAGCTATGGATAGACATGACCACAATATCAGGACAGACAAATTTAGCCATTTTGGTCACTTAGCACTATTCCTAGTGTTTGAAGACATCCTTTGCTTCTGAAAAAAAAATACTAACTTTGTTACTCTGGGCCACAATCTCAACTATTTGCACAAGGATTATACTTCAGTGTTGTTATATGCTGAATCAGAGAGTGATTTGTTCCTGCACATCCCCACACAGTGTGCTTTCAATCACATCACCATGGTCGTTTGCTAACAGCTGGCACTTTTTCTGCAGGAAGTAAAGATATTTCAGGGCTACCAATTCCACTAATGATGCCTTATATCTGCCTTTTGAGTAACCACCTACCTCCCAATAACATGCATTTTCTTCTTTCATAGCAGAGCAGCGGGAGGAGAGAAAGTAGCACTAAATCTAGCTCAGTCAGCAGTTGGAATGAGCTGAGAGGGTACGAAGAGATTTATGAGGCTGGCCTTCCAAGAGTAGTAGGTACATGCAAGACAAGACACAAATAGTTCCCAAATGTCGAAATACTATTACTGCAGAAAGCAGTTCAGGTGCCAAGTTAGATGCAGATCTCTTTCTCTCAACATTTATCCATATTCTTAAAAAAACCAAGATGCAACATTAATCCTCCCTATCATCCAAATATTCTATATTTTTTCCAATTATTGAGGAGGAAAAGCACCGAGGATTATATTTTCATGTGTGCAAATACAAAGGAAATATTACATAATCACAAATCATCTTTGGCTTTAAATGTTTTTGATTAATGTTACGGCAACTCAATGTAGTTCTAAGAGTATGAAATCAATTTTATGATATATTTAATATGAGTTGTGTATATAGAATGTATAAAGTAAGAGAACATGGGAAATGAAACACACATATAATACATAATACACACTCACCCTGCTGGCTGAGGGACTGCTCAAAGACCGATTTATAAAGGCTACGGAAGGAGGCACTCAGATCTTCAAAGTTGTACTCTGAGAAGGGTGGCTTTGTGTCCCTCTCAGGCATGTTGTATTGCTGTTGTTGCGGTGTTAGACTTTGGGGAACTGAATCGGCCCGGTTTGTCACCTATACAAGTGAACACACATAACAACTCAGTACAGAATGTAAGAATATGACAGTCAGTGAAAATTCACAGGTTGTATATAGCAGCAGTTTATTTATATTAAGTTATATCAGATCTTATAATGCAAATGTGAGACTGAAATGATAGTATGTACTCAGGTTCTGTCAGTGCTGATCTTCCCTGCAAACAACTACTTAAGAATAAAGAACTAAAGGTAGAGTAATCCATTAGCAATCTAACAGAGAAAAAATTAAGGATATCTTTTATCAGAACTCACACCTGTTAAGAATCACACCAATGATATTAAGTTGTCTTTTCTCTTCCAGATGCTAGCAGAATTCTGTGCACTTTCAGCATTTTGAGGTCAGAATATCTAGCATACTCAGCTTTTCTTCTCATTTCATTATGGCTGTGTGTCATACATGTTAAATAACTCTGGATTTTCTGTTTTTCATTATTTTAGCTTATATAAAAAGTGATGTAGCTCTGTTTAAGTTAAAACTACACTTCATGGCTCAGCACATTACACAATTTCTAAAATTACTAGTACCTTCAGCACAGAAAACAGACATTTGACTCAAGAATATCCCAGATCTTAAATTCCATTTGAACTTCTTCTCAACATACTTCACTCCATGTGCTACATGCTTCTAATCCCTTCTCCCTCGTGCTTTTTTTTCTTTAAATGCATCTATCCTATTCTGTCTCAACCATATCACACCGTAGCAAGTTTCACATTGGCATTCATAATTTAGATCTCAGAACACATGGCTAACTTTAAAACTGAGATAAAACATAAGTTTAGTTATTCCAAATTATTTCTGTGGTTTAATCCTAAAAGCATGAAACACGATTGTCGGATTCAACAGGATACTTAAGGTTCAGTACTATAACCACATGGAACCAGTGGCTGTGCAAAGTAAATGCACTTTTAAAAAAAAAAGGTACTCAAGTTCACAAATTTACCTGTGCGTAGTTGTGGACAGAGCCAACGTTATTCAGGTTGACAGAGGCTAGACTTGTATCAGACAGGCTGTTGTTAAGGCTGCTGCGAGGGCTATCACTTCCATCCTGATCCGTATTATACAGTGTTACCTACACAAGCAAACAGTCCATAATTTTTGAGATTTCAGAAAGAGCATGGCGATGTTTCTTTCAACAAATAGCAAATGCACTGCAGAGTGGCTCTCGAGGCCCACTTTTGCATTAATTTCATGAGCTGTTGTTAGATTTGACAACTACAAGTCTGACCACTTCCTGAAACAAAATTGTTCTAACTAGAAATACAAAAGGGGGGGTGACACTAGGAGGCAACTATAGCATTGTTCTCCTTAAATCAGCACTGCAGCATAAAAGCTTCCTATCTGTATTCAAGGAGGTTTCTGTACAGCTCAAGGAATAGTTACTAGGATGTGTTTTTACATAGACATTGCGTATAACTTACATAAAAGCAGAAGAACAGATGAGCAAGCTGCTCGTAGTAAACTGAGGGCATCAACTTGTTCAAAGCCATACGGTCTGAAGAAAAGCTTTCCATTACTTCAAATATATTAACTCCAAATCAACCAAATCTCTTTGCAATCATTCTGTTTTACATAACAGTACGGATTCAAACATGATGCTTAAACTTTGGTGTGCTCTAAAATCCTAACATGGAGTGTGATACCCACAGTAGACCATGGAAGATAAAGTGATTATTAGATGAGACTTGGAACAGAAACTGATGTTCATCTAGGTTGGTCAGTGCCTGGTTATAGCACAGCGACAAAGTATTTGTGCTTCTGAACGTATCATCAGAAGCAAAAGAACAATCCAGTACAGAATGCAGTGCCCTCACAAGACATTTAATGCATCAAACTTGATTCTAAAAATTGTACAAACCATCCTGCTTCAGTAGCAATAGAATTCATACATTATAACATCAACTTACTGCCTCTGCTGCTTTTAAACTGGTAAGACTAACCACCAGTAAATAATTTCAGCTTTGGAAAGCTCAAGATGCTTCCTCCAGACACGACTTATTCTGGAAGAAGAAAACTTTCCACTGTAATGTTTGGTTGTCTTCACAGTTCAAGCAAATTTGGAACAACAAACTATATATCTACCACTTATGGAAATTTAGGAATAATATGAACCACTATTGCCTTGGTTTAGTCACACAAGTCAACTTGAACTTGAGAAATCCTGACCGAGAGATCACATATAGACAAATCTGAATAAGGTTATAAATAATGTTAAGGCTATGATGTAATTGCTACGGTAATGCAACAATAGTTCTCAATTTGTACATTTGGAGACTTGTCATCCTCGATTAGCATCTACATTCTCATACAATTGCTACTGTGGAAACAGACCATTCAGCCCATCAAGCCCACTCTGACCCTCCAAAGAGCATCCCATCACGCCTAGCCCCTTGCCCTATCCCTGTAACCCTGCATTTCACTTGGCTAATCCACCTAGCCTGCAAATCCCTGGACATGATGGGGAATTTAGCATGGCCAATCTACCAAACCTGCACATCTTGGAACTGTGCGAGGAAACTGGGGCACCGAGAGGAAACCGACACAGACACACTGAGAACATGCAAACTTCACAGTTGCCTGAGGGTTATTCGAATCCGGGTCAATGGTGCAGTGGGGCAGCAGTGCTAACCATTGTGCTGCCCTAGACACGTCGACTGAAAAATCACTCTGATCTTACGATGGGGGGTCGGGGGGAAGGTCACTGAAGAAACACCTGATGATTGAGCCTGGGACATTACTCTGAGGAACTCCTGCAAAGATGTCCTGGAGCTAAATGACTGACTGATCTTTAACAGCCACAACTGTTTTCCTATGTGCCAAGTATGACTCCAACCAGCAATTTTCCCAGATTCCCACTCATGCCAGTTTTGCCAGAGGTCCTCGATGCCACACCCGATCAAAAGTAGCCTTGATGTCAAGAGCTATCTCTCTCATCTAACTTGTGGAATTCAGTGACAAAAATAGAAATTGCTGTAAAAGCTCAGCAGGTCTGGCAGCACCTGTGGAGAAGAATCAGAGTTAACGTTGCGGGCCAACTGATACTTCCTCAGAACTGGCAGTTCTGAGGAAGGGTCACTCGACCCAAAACGTCAACTCTGACTACTCTCCACAGATGCTGCCAGACCTGCTGAGCTTTTACAGCAATTTCTATTTTTGCCTCTGATTTACAGCATCCGCAGTTGTTTCAGTTTTTAGTCTGGAATTTAGCTCTTGTTCATGTTTGAATCAAGGCTGTAACAAGGTCAGGAGCTGTGCAGTCCTGGCGGAACCCAAGCTGGGCACTGCAGAGCAGGTCCTGCTTGATCGCAACTGTTAATCACATCTTCTATTAAAATGGGATGGTTGGCATTAGCCAGGTTGGATTTGTCCTGCTTGTTGTGTACAGGACATACCTGGGCAACTTTTGGCATTGTCTGGTAGATGCTATTGATATAGCTGTGCTGGAACTGCTTGGCCTGAGGTGCAGCGAATTCTGGAGTACAAGCTTCAGTACCATTGCTAAAATGCTGTCAGAGTCCCTAGCCCCTGCAATACCCAGTGCCTCCAAAAGTTTCTTGATATCACATTGAGTGAAGCAAACTGGCTGAAGACTGGCTTCGGAGATGGTGGGAACCCATCAACGAGGAAGAAATGAATTATCCAGTCCACTCTCCTACCTGAAGATTGTTGCAAATGATTCAACCTTATCTTTTGTACTGATGTGCAGGGCTCTTCCATCATTGAGCACGGGGATATTTTTTGAGCTGCCTCCTCCAGCAAGCTGTTTGACTGTCCACCGCCATTCACGAGTGGATGTTGCAGACTTGGATCTGACCCTTTGTTGCGGGATCGCTTAACTCTGTCTATCGCTTGCTGCTTGTGCTGTTTGGCATGCAAGTAATCCTGTGTTGCAGTTTCATCATGTTTATAAGTATGCTTAGTGTTACTCCTGATATTCCCTCTTGCACACTTAATTGAATCAGGGTTGATCCCTTGGCTTGACTGTAATGGTACAGTGGCTGATATGCCAGGCGATGAGGTTGCAGATTATATTGGAGTACTATTACTTTGTCGCTAATGGCCCACAGTGCCTCATGGATGCCCAGTCTTCAGTTGCTAGATCTGTTCAAAGTCTGTCCCATTTAGCATGGCGATATGCCGTACAACAACGTAAGTATTATCAACATGAAGGCAGGACTTCATCTCCACAACAACTATGCGATAATCACAGTTGCATCTGCAGCAGGTATGTTGGTGAGGATAAGGTCTCTCTCTTGTTGGTTCCCTCACCACCTACAGCAGACCCAGTCAAGCAGCAACGTCTTTTAAGACCCAACTGGCTCGATCCATAATGCTGCTGCTGAGCCTACTGTTAGCAGTGGGCATTGAAATCTCCCACTGGGAGTACATTCCTTGTCCTTGATACCCTCAGTGGCTCAGCATGGAGGAGCATAACGTCATCAGCCAAGGGCAAATGGTACGTAATAATCAGGAGGGTTCTAGCCCATCTGATGCCTTGAGACTTCATGGTGTCTGGAATCAATGTTGAGGACTCCAAGGCAATTCCCTGCTGACTGCGTACATGTGCTGTCACCTCTCCTGGACCTGGCATGCCTGTGGGACAGGGCACACCCCAAGGTGGTAGTGCCTAGGTCATGTTCTATAACGTATAATTCTGTGAGGATGACTGTGTCAGGCTGTCATGTGACTTGTCTGTCAGACAGCTCTCCCAATTTAGGAACTAAAATCCAGACGTTAGTAGGACTTTGCAGGCTCATCAGAGCTGGTTTTGCCATTATCATTTCTAGTGCCCGAATCGAAACCAGGTGGTCTGTCCATTTCATTTCTTTTTTGAGACATCATAGCAATTGTTATGACTCCGTGGCTTGCTGGGTCATTTGAGAGGGCAGTTGAGAGTCAACTACATTGCTGTGGATCCAGAGTTACAAGTAGCCAGACCACATAAGGACAGCATATTTCCTTCCCTGAAGGACATTATTAAGCTACTAAATACAAGGGGTGAGTTGGTTAACATAAATTGGGGAACTAATTTAAAATATATGGTGATAGATAAGCTATGTCAAACATTTAAAGCATTATTTCATAACTTAGAATAAATATATATTACCTTAAATAAAAATCTTATGGTAAAAACGATCCAATCATGGCTAACGAGACACCAAAAATAGAATTAGATTCAAGGAAGGGGTGGACAGTGTTGCCAAAAATACATTAGGCTGAGGAATGGGAGCATTTTAAAATTCAGTGAAGGATGACCAAAAATTGAAGAGATAGAAACAGAATGAATATAAAGTCGCAAGAGTCATAAAAAACAGATTGCAAACAATTCTATATGTATGTAGCAAGGAAGGAATAACAAAAGTAAATATGTGGCTTTTGGAGGCAAAACCAAGAGAAATTGACAGTGTGTAACTTGGAGAAAAAGTTTGGAAAGTGTGGGAGTTAAGTTTAGTGGGAGAGTGGACTTTTTTTTTTCCCCCCCAGTTGCCTTGTTTTCCTAACTACTTCCACAGATTAGTAAGGGCAGGAACAGACCAAGGCCCAAGAGTTTGGCACTATTAGGGAATTAACTGAGAACCATCAGGGATAAGTAAAACTCAGAAAAAGAGGAAACTAAAGTTAAGTTAAAAGGAGTATCTTTCACATTAAGTAATTAGAAAAGGTAGCAACTAAGACAAAGACTGAGTTCAAGTTTAGGGCATGGACCCCCAGTGCCCTAGATGCCCGCACATGCAGGAAGTGCTCCCAAATGCAGAAACTCAGGATCCATGTTTTGGAGCTTGAGCAGCAGCTGGAGATACTTTGGCACAACCGCGAGGCTAAAAATTACATGGATAGCATGTTTAGAGAGGTGCTCACGTTGCAGCTCAAGGGACTGGAGGAAAGAAAGGAATGGATGACCACCAGGTTGTCAAAATAATCAGGCAGGAGACCCCTGGAGTGCTACTCACAAATCAGTTTGCCATTTTGGAATCTGATGAGGATCCTCAAGGGAGTGCAGGCAGAGCCAAGCATCTGGCACTTCAAGTCGCTTGATTGTATAGGTGGACAGAAAGTAAAAGGCAGAAGCAATAGTGATCAGGGATTCATCAGCTAGGGAAACAGACAAGTGCTTTTGCAGCTGCAGACATGACACCAAAATATTGCCGCCCTGGTGCCAGGATGAGTTGTCACTGTGCAGGACCTTGGAAAGGTTGTAACTTCAGGATTACTCTTGGTACCACAGGCTAGTGAGTACAGAAACGGAAGAATCGGACAGATGAATGCGGGGCTCAAAAGCAAGTCCAAGAGGGAGGGTTTTAGATTCCTGGATCACTGGGACCATTTCTGGGGATGGTGGAACCAGTATAAAGGAAGGTCTGCACAATAACCATAATGAAACCAACATCTTTACAGGTGGGTTTGAGAGCACTGTTGGAAGAAATTTCAACTAATTTGATAGGAGAAGGGGACACAGCATACTTAATTAAAGGAATCAAAACAGGTGCAAGTTCAGCCATGTTGAGTTTCAAGGGATTAAGGCGAGGCTGGATGGCCTCGGCTTTAATGCCAGGAGCATGACAAGGCATGGATTGACATATTGACACGTTGTTGCCCTCACAGAGGTAAGGTTGAGAGAGAGACAGGACTGACATTCTTGAGTATAGAATCTTCAGGCAGGCAGAAAAGGATTTAAAAGGGGAAGTGTTGTCACATTATGAATTAAGGACCTAGTTACCACAGTACGGGGTCTGTTAGCTCAGTTGGCTGGACAGCTGGCTTGCAATGCAGAGTAATGCCAACAGCACAGGTTCAATTCCAACATGGCTAAGGCTACCATAAAGACTATTTCTCAATGTCTCCCCTTGCCGGAGGAGTGCTGACCCTCAGGTTAAAAGGCCAGCAGTGGTCTTTCTCTAATGAGACAGTGCTCTACTGCAGTAAGGAGGGATGATGTCTTGGAAGGGGCTTCAAATGAGGCTTTGTGGGCACAGTGTAGGAATATAAAGGAGCAGTCACACTGCCAGGAATATATAATAAACCTGCCAACTGTCAGTGTGCAATGGCAGAGCAGATATGCAGACAATTCACTGAAGTGTGTAAAAACAATAATAGGGTAATTATATTTCAATTCCCCCACCACTAATTGGGATAGTTATGGTGTCAAGGGTTGAGGGGACAGATTTACATTGTATTCAGGACAGCTTTCTATATCAACATGTGGAAGTTCCAACACAAGATGGTGCAGTGCTGGACTTGATTCTCCGGAACAAAGCTGGACAGATGTTCAAATTGGCAGTGGAGCGACATTTTAGTGATAGCAGCCACAACACTATATATTTTCCTATTGGTTATAGACAAAGAAAATGACAGCTTGCAAAAAAAAGGGGTAAAGCAATTTTATTAAAATAAACCAGGATCTGGCCAAAGTAAACTGGGATTGGTGGATTAGTGACAGATGGAACTTAATCCTGATAAATGTGAGGTGATGCACTTTGGAAGAAGTAACTAGACAAGGGGGTACTCATGAATGGCAGGACCCTCAGAAGCTCAAAGGAACAGAAGGATGTTGGGGTGCTTGTCCACAGGTACCTCAAAGTGGCAGGCCAGATTAATAGGGTAATTAAGGCAGCATTTGGGGTACTTGCTTTCAGCAGTTCAGGCACAAATTATAAGAGCAGAGAAACTATATCGGAGTTGTATAAAACTTTGGTTAGGCCACAGCTGGGAGTGCTGTGTGCAGATCCGGTCACCTCACTATTGGAAAAACATGACTGTATTGGAGGGGGTGCAGAGGAGATTCACCAGGATGTTGTCTGGGACGGAGCTGCGTAACTATGAAGAGCAGTTGGATAAGCTCACATTGTTTTCTGTAGAGCAAGGAAGACTGAGGGGGGACCTGATAAATGCGTATAACCTTTAAACCTTTCTCAACCTTTAAAATACTTCAATGAGCAAATAAATTATCATAACATTTAAGGCTATGGGCCACGACTGGAAATTAGGAAGTTTGGTCCACAACTTTTTTTCTCCTCTTCCAAAGGTCCAAATACTTACTGGCACACAGTGGTATTGGTGCAATTAGCCTTCGTCATGTGAGATTAGACAGCAAGGAACCCTCAGGTTACTCATGAGTCACAACCAAATTCAAGCTACTAAGTACTTCACTCAAGTTCTGCCCATAACTACTGAATCAGTATCAACCATCAACTAACAAGAGAAGAAATGCTGGCTGACTTAAGTGTCTCTCCACCTTGAGGTAGTGAAAACAACTGTAGCAACCTTAGTTTATAACCTGGCCGAAATCAGCTAAAACTGTATATTTTAAAGGTTCAGCGTGCACGCTGTATTTATTCACAAAAGGATCCTTTCCATGCAGGAATATTTATTTTCACTGCAAATAAAAGCAGCTAGCATGGTACTTCTCAGTGTAATTTATCAATCACAAGACCCAATTCAAGCTTCCAAGTAAATCTGATCAAAATCAAAACATATTTTCCCTCAGAAATATCTATTTAACAGCAGTTAAATAACCTCAAAATCCTAAAGCACTTCACAGCTAATGATGTACTTTTAAAAGGTGGTCATTGTGAAATACAGGCAACATGGCAGCAATTTGAGAGACGCAAACTCCTACAAACAGTAACACGTAATTTGTTTTTGTGACGGTGACGGAAGATGATAGTGGCCAAGACACTGGGACAACTCCATGTTCCTTGTTGCAAATGGTGCTATAGAATCTTTCACAATGAGTGGGCAGATGGGTACCCAGTTTAACATCTTATCCAAAAGGTTGTACAGTACTGCTCTCAGTACTGCATGGGTGCTGGCCAAGATTTCTGTGCTCTCGCCTCTAAAATAGGATTTGAATATGCAAATATTTAACTTAGATGAAAAGATACAACCCACTAAGCAACCAGTGAAATGCGTCATAATTAGAAATTGCTACGATTAGGAATTATACATAATGAAAAATAACAAAGAAAAGCAAATACAGACAGAACAGACAAGGATCAGTTACACAGAAAAAAGACAGATACCAACACCAGGCTTTATCTCCTCTGGAACGTTCAACTGTGTAATGAGATTACCCAACATGAACTCATTGAATTGTACCCGAATACATGCAATTCTATAAACAATCCTCAATTTATCTTCAATCCTACTTCGCAATTTGAGCAGCTTGTTTATTAGATCTCTGATCTACCTGAATAATAGCTCATGCCCAGCACACTACAATTTCGAGAATTATCAGACATTGTCATACTAATTTAATCAAGGTAAAGTCGCTATAGTCTTATCCTCTAATGAGAGACACACACACACACAATCGGTGGTAGTTTAACCTGCAAGTCATCAGGCCTCGGGTGAGGGGAGAGGTTGAGGAGAAGAATCCTTCATGGTAACCTCAATCAGTGCAGGAATTGAACCTGCACTGTTGGCATCACTTTACATCACAAACTGAGCTAACTGATCCTGCACTGGGGTTAACCATGAAGGACTCATGCTTCTTGAACTCTGCTGGAACTGTGTGTGGGGATGTCAGGCAGTGGGGTTTAGATTTACTCTGTCACCCTCTATATTTAATTAGCCTATAGGCACTCTCTAATAGAGGCCAAATGCAATTTGTGAAACTAGACGCGAGCAAGAAGTTAACCCAATGGAGGGGAGAAAAAAAACTGGAAGCAAATGGGGAGTAAAGAACGGAGGACAATTTCCAGCCTTTTCCATTTTCTTACCTATAACAGATGCTTATCCAATCAGCGATTATTCATGAGAGACTTTCAAAAGCAAAATATTCAGTCGAGGAAGCAGAGAACGGCCGGGTCCTGTCCTTATTTAATTTCTCCATAACCAGTACACAGTCTCACAACCCTCACTGGTAAGTGTGCTTAAAAACTCAAAAAATAATCCAAACAGATAACTATCATTTAAACTAAAGCCAATTATTCAAACATTACTTGGGTTATTTTGTTTACTGTTTGGTAGTATGCTAAGTGGCACAAAATATTACAAAATGGTTGGTGAGAGAACTTGGTGGGGGGGTGGAATATCTGTGCAGAAGGTACATTCAAGTTTAGAGCTTTAGAGCGAAGATATATTGTTGGGAAAAAATAGAAATTTTATTCCAGATCAGTGTTGCACCTGATCCTAGACTAGGGGTGTCAAAGCTTGCCATTCTGCAACACGGGCATTCCTCATCTTAACAAGTAATACCACCTGGTTTAAAAAAAAAATCAAACTCTCCTAACTGGTATTTATAAACTAGAACAGAATTTCAGAGGCACACACACAAGGAATTCTTCCAGTTCCAGCATTTCTGTAGTCCGTCAACTGGGTTTTGGCAAGATACAAACAGGATTTAAAGACTTAAATTTGGAATGGCGTACTGTGCATGCCAGAGACTGGCAGGACAAACTGACACCCTGTAGGGATTCTCGATTGATGCTGTGACATCTGAGGAAATTCTAATTGAAAGTTTGGATCCTGAACAACTGAACTGAGTCACTCTGGACTAATCCTGCAGAAGGTACTTTTGGAGGAGGCTGAGAAATCCAAATAATTTAAACAAATAAAAAATTCAGAAGCATCCATTATTTACAACTTGTAAATTAATTTCAGCTTAGACCTGCCCAAATCATTTCAGAGATTAACTACAACAAAAAGCTTTTCTTTTGTCACATAATTTCCCTTGCTCCCTTTGTGAACTGCTTTAAAGCAAATTTGTTCTAATTTAGCAGTGCTCTCACAAATCAGGGGAGAAAAGTGGTATATTAGAGATGACTAATCCTTACCCAACTGTGATTCAGAAAAGGATAAAGCAATTAGACCTAACAACTCTTCCTAAATAGATATCAGTAATTGTTTTTGCTATTGTATAGCTCACAGGAAATTTGCTTCCTCGCTGTTTGCGATATTTAACCAAAACTACAATGTCAAGGAGAAAGAAGTGAAGGAACAGTACTTTGTTAGTCACAGTGTTAATTGCCAAGGTTGGAGAGGCACTTCCAGAGATGATGCAGTCCATTCCTAAAGGCTCAGAATCCAGGCTGTAAGGTGTTGAAGCCTGGAACAAAGCAGCAGAGCACAAGGACACAGGAATTAGTCACAACATGGACAGCTCAGAAACTCCCATTCACAGGTTAAATTACATGATAGGCAGATGAGAGTAAAAGTAGATATTTGAGGTATATACATATTTTTTAAAAAATTGAACTACTATTTTACTATTACAGAACAAGACCAAATGCAACAAATTCAATACTTGATTTCTCTAAAAATAAACTTTCCTTTTTCCTCAGACACTGACTTTTGCTGAGATACTGCTTCATTGAAAGCATCTGCCTTCTCATATCCCATCCAAATATCCATTCTTGTACTGCAAGATTAACCAATATACTTCAAATGTCCAACCAACGTGGCTTTATATAAGTAGGGTGGCCGCCTGCTCTCTGTAAATATCCATACACCTGATCTCCTTCCTGCAGGACTTACTCGACAGCTATAACAGTAAAACACTCCAAATTTCAAGTTATATTTGGATACATAAAATCGTTTAAAACTTATTTGTCAAATTCTCAGTTCTCCTCCTCTCCCACAATCAGAATAAAGTTGATTGTGCCTACTAGAAAGCCCAAACAGAATTAGAACCCAGAATAGACATGCAATTTCTTCAAAGTCCCTCCTGGCTCCACACTTCAGCATAGAGATGTCCATGGCTTTTGTACCCTTTGATCATTGAATATGGCCAATTTGAAATTACAAGCACACATCATTGTTATGAATCTTAGCTGTGTAAAAAAAAAAATTAGAAAATAGAGAAAAGCTTACAAATCATCTGCTAACCGTCATGCACTTTGAAATGAATATAGGTAAATCACAATTTAACAGTGATGGTTGCAAATTTGTTTTGGTTTTGGTTGAAATATTGTAGCACTGTCAACAAGTTGGTAAATTAAAAAACTCGATTTTTCTTTGGAGAACAGTTGATATGCTTATAAGGGTGTGCAAAAGCGAGTTAGCCTGGTCTGTGAAGTTGGGGCATGGTTGGGCACATGGGACTGGGATATCATAGCTATTACAGAAATGTGGCTCAGGGAGGGGCAGGACCAGTAGCGTAATGGTCTAGGATATAGCTGCTAATTTAAAGAATAGAAATGGGAGCGAGAGGGGGGGCAATAGCATTTTTGGTTAAGGATAACATTACGGTTGTACTTAGGGAGGATATCCATGGGGGAAACAACCAGCAAAGTTATATAGGTGGAACTAAGAAACAAGAAAGGGATAATCACCTTACTGGGATTGTACTATAGGCTCCCCAATAGCCAGCGGGCAATTAAGAAGCAAGTATATAAAGGAGATCTCGGATACCTGTAAGAATAATAGGTTTGCAATTGCAGGAATTTTAAATTTCCAAACATAGACTGAGACTGCCACAGTGTTAAGGGTTTAGATGGAGAGGAATTTGTTAAGTGTAAACAAGAAAATGTTCTTATTTAAAATGTAGACATACCCAGAGAAGGAGCAAACCTTGACCTTCTCTTGGGAAATAAGCCAGGGCAAGTGATTGAGGTTTCAGTGGGGGAGCACTTTGGGGTAAGTGATCACACTTCTACTAGTTTTAAAATAGTTATGGAAAAGGATAGGCCTTGTATAAGAATTAAGAGTTCTAAATTGGAAGAAGGCCAATTTTGACAGTATTAGACAAAAGTTGATGGAGGAGGCTGTTGGCAGGTAAAGGAACAGTTGGAAAGTGGGAGGTCTTCAAAAATGAGATAACGAGAGTTTAGAGATGGTATGTTTCTGTTAGCGTGAAGGGCAAGACTGGCAGGTGTAGGGACTGCTGGATGACTAGAAAAATTAAGACTCTGGTCTAGAAAAAGGAGGCGGCATATGTCAGATACAGACAGCTGGGACTGAGTGAATCCCTACAGCACAAGGGCAATAGGAATATACTTAAGAGGGAAATCAGGAGGGCGCAAACGGGACATGAAAAAGCTTTGGCAAACAGAATTAAGGAGAATCCAAAAAGAGACTCTATAAATACTTTAAAGGGCAAAAAAGTAACTTAAAAATCAATGAGGGCATCTATGTGTGGAAGGGAGATGGGTGAGATAGTAAGTGGATATTTCGCACCTGCATTTACTATGGGGAAGGACATGGAAGCCAGGGAACTTGGGGAAATATATACTGACATCTTGAAAAGAGTCCATTCTTGAGAGAGGTGATGCTGGTACTCTACACAAAAGGTAGATAAACCTCTGACACCTGATTAGGTGTTTCCCAGGACTTTGTAGGAAGCTAGGGAAGAGATTGCTGGGCTCCTTGCTGAGATATTGGTTTCATCAACAGCCACAGATGAGGTGCCAGAAGACTGGCAGGTGGCTAATAGGGGGCCATTATTAAATAAAGGTGTTAAGGAATAGCCAGGGAATTGCAGAGTGATGATCCTGATGTCAGTTACCCACTACTGAGGAGGATTCTGAGAGACAGGACTGACATACATTTGGAAAGGAAAGGACTGATTAGGGATAGTCAACTTGCTTTTGTGCTTGGGAAATCGCGTCTCACTAATTTGATTTGAGATCTTTTGTTGAGGTGCCAAAGAAGACTGATGAAAGCAGAGTGGTAGACAGAGTGGTAGTGTTTAGCAAGGTTAGAACACACAGAACCCGGGAGTGCTAGCCAATTGGATACAAAATTAGCTTGAAGGTAGGAGACAGAGAATGTTGGTACAGGGTCGTTTTTCAGAAGGAAGGCCTCTGACCGGCCATGTGCTGCAAGAATTGCTGCTGGGTTCACTGCTCATTATTTTTATAAATGATTTGAATGTGAATACAAGAGGTATGGTTAATAAGTTTGCAGATGACACCTAAATTTATGGTGTAGTGGGCAGTGAAGAAGCTTATCTCAGAGTACAACAGGACCTTGATCAGATGGGCCAATGGACTGATGAGTGGCAGATAGAGTTTACTTTTGATGAACGTGAGGGGTTGCATTTTAGTAAGGCAAACCAGGGCAGGACTTATATAGTCAATGGTAAGGCCCTGAGGAAAGTTACTGAACAAGGAGACCAATGGGGTGCAGATGCATAGTTCCTTCAAAGTGGAGTTGCAGGTAGACAAGGTGGCAAAGACGACGTTTGGCACGCTTGCTTTCATTGGTTAGTGCATTGAGTATACGAGTTGGGAGGTCACGTTGGGGCTATACAGGACATTAGCGAGGCTACTTTTAGGATACCATGCAATTCTAGTCTCCCTGCTATAGAAAAGAATTTGTTAGACTTAAAAGGGTTCAGAAAAGATTTACAAGGGATTGGAGGGTTTGAGCTACAGAGTGGGGCTGAATAGGCTGTGGTGTTTTTCCCTAGAGAGTGTCAGGGGCTGAGCAGTGATGTTCTAGAGGTTTATAAAATTATTAAGGCCATGGTTAGGGTGAACAGTCAAGGTACTTTCCCCAGGGTAGGAGTCAAAAGCTACAGGGCATAGATTTAAGGAAAGGGGAAAGATTTACAAGGGACCTGAGGGGCAACTATTTCACTTAGAGAGTGATGTGTGTATGGAACGAGTTGCCACAGTAGGTAGTGGTGGGGGATACAATTACAACATTTAAAAGACATCTGGGTGTATACATGCATAGGAAGAATTTGGAGGGATATGGGCCAAATGCTGGCAAATGGGACTAAATCAGTTTTAAGACATCTGGTGGGCATGGACGAGTCGGACCGAAGGGTCTGCTTCTGTGCTGTCTAACTAGGACTCTGTATAAGGCAGAAATTAAATTCATGAAACAAGAAAACCCACAGACATCGTTCTATGTATTAAACCAAAGCAATGGTGTCTATTGACTTTTGTTTTCCAAGTAGAGCAAAAGGTATACATCTCTTTCTGATTAATCGTAGAAATAATGCAATGTGGCAATATTTCATGACATGCCACATTACAACTCCCAAGGCACTCCTTTGCTGCCAAACAAAATCATCTTTAACCACCATCTCTCGCACATGGATTTTTATTTCCTAACCACTTAAAACCAACATTTAGACTTACCCTTTCTCCTGATCGCGGCCTCTTCTTTGGCCGTGTGGGCAGTGTATCCTCCTTTGGATTAGTGTCAATGGCCCAGTAAGAGCCCTAAAACAAAAAGCACAAAGTTTGATACATTTACAATTTACATTCCCCTCTATTTCAGCACAGTGCATCTATTTACAACTACTAGAGCAATCAAGAAGAGTGATAAGGTAATTCTCTGTGTACATGATGCCATGTATTGTTTTCAAATGTAATATACTAAATTCTTGTTTACATCTGTTACAAATTTAAATTTGCTGTAGATACCTTGGCATTTGGTGATATCAATCCTTCCCATAAGAGAATCTCATGGTTTCTTAGATTTCAGAGTTGATTCACACTGCCCAATATCTACTTATTGATTGAGTCATCTATGGATGTAATGACATGCATCTCTTGACATAAGCTGGGTACATACTTATTAGTGTTTCATCAGCCTTAGTTGATGGAATGAATACACTTTAATGAGGAATGGTCATAAATAAATTGTTTGGTTCTCTGACATCTAAAAACACTGATGATCAAACAGCAAGTTATGAACAGCTTTGCCTAATGAATTCAGTATAACATCTTTGCATAACAGAGAAATAATAAATACAGTAAGCTTTCACCCTTCAGTTGCACATTTTGCTTGACAAATGAAGTAACTTTTAACTCTTGCATCCTAACAATTTTGTGCAACTGTTTAGAAACTTGGCTATAAAATGTTTTGCGAGTATGGTATCTGGTTTCACCAAAGGTTGCTACACAACAGCTGAAAATCATGTGTATGAGGAACTACCCAAAATAAGGTGCAGGGAATTTTTACTAATGACCAAACAAAATAAATTAATTGCTTATACAAATTGAACCAACATAAATGCATCCCATATAGAAATAGTCAATACCAAAATATGGGACTGCTTTCAACATCATTACCTCATGATGTGAACAGGCAGATCTCACTACAGGCTGCACTATACTGAAAATGACTTTTTGAGGTAATTGACAGCTCTTACAAGAAAAGTAGCTCCAACAATTTGCTATTCTTTAAAAGCTGCCTATTTCTGTAAAAATAATAACCTTATCACTACATATATATTCAATAGCAATCATACAATTTTGTATCTGAACAAACATTCACACAACAAACTGAAGACAGACATAAGACTTCACTCCTTAGACAGGAACAATTTTAACGGTAAACCATTATAGGAACACAATTAATATTACACCTCTTTTAAAAGTGTTTGATAATTGGAGGGATACATCACTGCACCAACTTTGCACATTTTGCTTGACAAATAAAGTAACTTTCATCTCTTATATCCTAACAATGTTTTTGTGCAGCAGTTTAGAAACTTGACTATGAATGTGTTGTCTCAGTATAGTGGTGAAATTAGACTATTCTCAAGCAAAGTGTTCCATCCTTCTCCCTGGCAATCAATGGATACCTAATTAAGTAGTTTATGTTGCTGTATATTTGACAATATTTTCAGTTTAGTTTATAAAGAGTCAAAGACGTAAAACACGAAAACAGTTCCTTCAGTCCAATTTGTCCATGCTGACCAGATGTTCTAAATTAATCTCGAGGGGATTTTGGTCGCACTTGAGCTACATTACATCATGAGTGAGAATTCTGAAATATTAAATGGTGATAACACAATGGAACTGTTTAACCAATAGGTAAGAAAATATTCTAGGAGTGGACATTTTGCTGAGTGCCTGAGACAAAACGTTTTAGCAGCAGCAATGCTCAATAACAGCTGCAGTTCGACAAAAAAAAAGCACATTGTCCTATTGAAGGCTGTGACATTTGATATTACTCAGGTTGATGTGTGCAGGATTTATGTAAGTAATGTAGTCATCTTTGTAACTTTGCATAATTACACATAGGGCAAATCTCACGTGCTCGTGTGGTTCCACTTGCGATATATGACCATAATACAAATTGAGCATATTCAGTAACAATGAGAACAATTCAACCGTGCAGATTTAAAATGGAAGTTTAAAGTTTTGGCAAAGATCTGTAGCTCGGGTTGTGGGGGAGGTTGTTGATTTGCTTGCCGAGCTGGCTTGTTTTTGTTCAGACGTTTCGTAACCATGCTAGATGGTATCATCAGTGGAGCCTCCGATGAAGCTATGTTATTCTACTCCGCTTGGAGTTTACACTGTCCGGTCCGTTATGGTGAGTACTGTCATTTCCGGTTTTGATCTGTATGGGTTTGTATATAGGGTCCAACTCTGTTTTTTGTTGATTGTTGGGCAGCCCAGAAACCTACAGCCATCCTACAACAACCACTTACATGGATTAAAGACCCCATTCCCACAACATGCAGAATGAACATGGTTTATAAAATACCATGTAACAACTGCCACAAACATTACATTGGACAGACAGGAAGGGAACTAGCCATCAAAATACATAAATATCAGCTAGCAGCAAAACGGCACGATGATCTCTCCTTAATATCAATACATTCAGACAATGAAGGCGATCAATTTAACTGGGACAAAGTAACCATAATAGTCCAAGCCGAACACAGGCATGCATGGGAATTCCTTGAGGCATGGTTCTCCACCCATACTTCAAATCAACAAGCATGTAGAATTGGACCCCATATACAAACCCATACAGATCAAAACTGGAAATGATAGTACTCTCTGTAACGGACCGGATAGTATAAATTCCAAGTGGAGTAGAATAACATGGCTTCATCGGAGGTTCCACTGATGATGTCACCTAGCATGGTGATGAAACGTCTGAACAAAAACAAGCCAGCTCGGCAAGCTAGTCAAAAACTTTAAAACTGAAGCTTCTTTTCCCCCAATTGTAAGAGGAGTTTCTAAAAATTATGATATGCTAATAAGATAAGCAGTGGGACCTAATCGTTGTCCAGGAGTGAGGATTAGCTAAACCGTACAAGATAAACAGTATAGTTAAAGGTTGGTATTCCTTGGGTTAGTACAAAAATTAAATTGAAGTGAGAGTTATAAAAGGCACGAGTTAAATTTAGGGCTAGCAATTTGAAGAAAATCTAAGCAGTTAAACAATACGGAGGGAAACAAAATCAAAACTAGGAAGATTAACAAGGTTAGAAATGAATGCGAAATATAAAGAAGTTGATAAACAATAAATAAAGTAATAAGCAATTAAAATATTATATTGGTGATAAATGTAAAAATAATAAGGCTGACTATAAACTAGCAAATTTCCGTGCAAATGGAAGTCATGCCAAAAGATAGAAAGGAACAAATAAAAAATATTAAACCAGGTATTATAGGCTATTTAGTCTAACATTAGCAGTGAGCTCCAAAAGTCATAATAGTAGACAATATTAAAGACAAGGGGTAATTTAGCACAGATGTGAAAAAGCCATGTCTGACTTTTGAGTCTTTGGGGAATTAAGAGGGTACATTTGTAAACTGAATGTAACTAACATCAACTTTGAAGCTGTGTCTAATAAAAATACGAGTATAATGTATTAATGAGACTGTAAAGTTGGTTAAACAGTTGCAAATAGAGACTTGTGGTTAATGGATTTTGTTTCGCCGTAAATACAGTGAACATAAAATAAAGCAAAAGATACTATTTCAAAGGGTTTGTTTGAGTACATTGGTGCAAATCACTGAAGTTAGGTTTGATTTAAAAAATGATTAATAATGCATACGAGTTCCTGATTGTATGAAAGGGTGACAAGTGTTAAAAAGCAAGGAAGTTGCATTGAACCTGTATAAAAACTTAAGTTAGGCCTCAAATTATAATCTGGGCACCACACTAAGATGTGAAAGCATTAGACTCGGCACAGAAAGGATTCACGAGAATGGATTCTGGATGAGAAATTTCAGCAATGCAGTTAGATTGAAAATCCTGGGGCTGCTGGAGATTTTCAAAATAATGAGTCTAGACAGGAGATAAGGAGAAGTTGTACCTACTGGCAGACAGACCAGATGGGACCAAGTTTAGGGGACAGGCAAAAGAAGCAATGGTGACAAGAGGAACATTGTTCAAAGACCAGGATGTGGTTCAGAGTTGGCATACTCTGCCAAAAGTGTGGTGGAGGCAGATTCAACTGAGGTGTTCAGAAGGGAGCAAGATTATTATCCAAAGTGAAAGGTTGCAGATCCATAGTGAAAAGGTAAAGGAGTGCAACTAGGTGAACTGTTTTTCCAGAGATTCAGCACAGCCAAAAATAGGCCCTCTGTGCTGTGTCAATTCTATGATTATCACGCTGTTGCCTGAAGATTTTTTGGGAGCTTGCTGTGTACAAATTGGCAGTTTCTTTCTTAGCTGTAAAGCAAATGGGCAGATAGAACCGAAATGTAATAGTTCATACACATGTCTGCGCCCCCCAGCAAAGCAACGTTCTCTCAGTATTACACCAGAATGTCAGAATCAAGTCCTGAAGCGAGACTTGAATCCGGAACCTTTACCTCAGAGGTGAGGCTTCCAACAACTGAGCGGTGGCTAATATTTAAGTGGTTAACTTCAACTCGCCCATGCCGACCAAGTTTCCTAAAGTGAACTAATCCCACTTGCCTGCATTTGGCCTGTATCCCTCTAAACATTTCCTATTCATGTACCTATCCAAATGACTTTTAAATGTTGTAACTGCACCCACCTCCGCTTCTTCCTCTGGCAGTTTGTTCCATATATGCACCATCCTCTGTGTGGAAAAAGTTGCCTCTCAGGTCCCTTCTAAATCTTTCTCTTCTCACCTTAAACCTACGCCCTCTATTTTTGGACGCTGGTATTCATCTTATTTATGCTTATGATTTTAGAAACCTCTATAAATGGTTATTCCCTCTTCACCAAGTGGTTGGAAACACAATGGTCTCCTTGTGCATTATATAATTCTATGACTTATGTTTTGGAAAGCCTAAGGAAGTAGTCACAACACTGGCAGTGAGGTCCTACAAATTATTGTTTATTTCATCCTGCTCAAAGTCACAGGATATCTGCATTGCCCCTGCCCTCTTTATCTAGGAAAGCACTTGAGTCATGCTATGTTGGACAGCATCCCCTGAAGCTAAGAAACTCTCCACTTTTAAGTGAATTTAAGCAATTTCAAATTATAATTATG